AGTATAGTTCTGTCACTATAAATTCTTTGTGAAATGACAGAGATGGCATCAAGATGGAGTAAGACTTAAAATTGAGTACCTTTCAGTATTCCCGTTTTGACCCTTCCTCCCTCTTGTTGATATGTGGTGAGGTTTTATACAAACCGGGACGTTTATCCGATATCACGTGTATTTTTTTAATACACAATACCCATGTAACTAAGTCTTCTACCTATGAAATATTCTAAATTGGTTAAAAATACAAATTAGTTATATTTTTTTTGAACTTGCTATGAGCCCACACCATCGCACACTAAACTCCATTTTAAGTATTAAAAATCTCGCGTTTGACATAAATATAAATACACTTGATATTTTATTAAACCACGAAGCATTACGGGGGATCGAGCCCCTCTGGTAATGCGTCGTAATTTTTTGTTGTATTGATTTTTATTGGGTCTCACGTGGTTAATGGACATCCCCTAAAAGGTATCTGTTTATCTCAATTTAGTTTTTTTGAGGTCAGCCCAATATGTATTTAATCTGTCAAACACCAAGCGGTCACCGGTGACCGCGACCTATTGTTCTTTAATTGTGTCTATAAAACCGGTACTCGACGAGTTAATTAGATACTATTCTCCTTTACTGACGTCATTATGTCGTCATACTCGTCATATTTGTTTCGACATAATTATATCACTTGATTTTATCATACGTGACACTTACATACGTATACTCAAAAATCAGTAGGTAGTCTATGACACGTTATGGGGATTTTTTTTATTTTCTTGTATAGTATTTTTACCTTAACAAATATTAAAACGGCAACAATTCACCGACTTGCAGAACCCCCGTAAGATTTCGTTGACCTAACTGTGATCCTGATATCAGTCAAGTGTGAGGATTGTGGCAGACTCAATCTGTACAAGGGAGGCATTTATCGCCAATATTGGATGACTTGAATACAGTTTGTCCCTATTTTGTGCTAGAATTCCTTTGCAGGTGTGTGTATTCTCAGCACAAAAATAGCATATAATTTAACAATACAATTGTGGATACCTCGATACAACATGGTTAATCCGACAATTTTTAGCTTTACCTACATAGAAATCCAAAAATATCACCAATAGATCTAGAAATACTGTGGCTGACTGTGCAGAGTAACGAATATAGTCGAATTTGAATAGACCAATCTGCACTGCGTCAGCGTAGTTGATTACTGTCCTAGTTTACACAAAAGGTCTGATCCCTTTCCAAATTTTTGGGTAACATAAAAATATTGCCGCATCACCATCCACTATTCATCTGGATTTAAAGATAGTAATAGATCTTCGACCTTCACTTCGTTGATAATGTTAGGTGAGTATGTTAATTGAGATTACAAAAATTTGATGCATCGCATCCTTACGAGTGTGTTCTAGTGGCGCATCTTGGTAGCTACCAAGATGCGCCACTAGAACACCTCACCTGAGGAGCTCCTCAGCATAGCTACGGTTTATTAACTACCCCGGTTATTATTTTTTTTCTTTTCTATAATTTTCAGGAAACAATGACGGATAAAAACAGAACTATTTCATATGTATATCTATATATCTATATATATAAAATTCAAAGGTGATTGACTAACTGACTGATTGACTGACTGACATAGTGATCTATCAACGCACAGCCCAAACCGCTGGACAGATTGGGCTAAAATTTGGCATACAGATAGATGTTATGACGTAGGCATCCGCTCAGAAAGGATTTTGATAATTTCCACCCCCAAGGGGGTAAAAAAGGGGATGAAAGTTTGTATGAAACTTTGTCAGTTTTTAACTGATCGGGTTGAAATTTGGCATGCAGATAGATGTTATGACGTAAGCATTTGCTGTGAAAGGATTTTGATAATTTCCACCCCCAAGGGGGGGTAAAAAAGGGGATGAAAGTTTGTATGGGACTTTGTCAGTTTTAAACCGATTGGGTTGTAATTTGGCATGCAGATGACGTAATGACGTTATGACGTTATGACGTAAGCATCCGATGTGAAAGGATTTTGATAATTTCCACCCCCAAGTGGGTAAAATAGGGGATGAAAGTTTATATGAGCCTTTGTCAGTTTTAAACCGATCAGGTTGAAATTTGGCATGCAGATAGATGTTATGACGTAAGCATCCGCTTTGAAAGGATTTTGATAATTTCCACCCCAAGGGAGTAAAATAGGGGATGAAAGTTTGTATGAGACTGTCAGTTTTAAATCGATCGGATTGAAATTTGACATGCAGATAGATGTTATCACATAGGCATCCGCTAAGAAAGGATTTTGATAATTTCCACCCCTAAGGGGGTAAAATAGGGGATGAATGTTTGTGTGAGGCTTTGTCAGTTTTACACCGATCGGGTTGAAATTCGGCGTGCAGATGGATATTATGACGTAAACGTCTCTTTAGAAAGGTTTTTGAACATTCTCACCCCAAAGTATGATACTTTGCCAGTTTTAAATTGATCGGGCTGAGACTTTGCATGCATAAAGTTACTATGACATAGGTATCTCTTTAGAAAGGATTTTGATAAATTCCACCCCTAAGGGGATAAAATAGGGAATGAGAGTTTGTATAAATCTTCTTAGCCGTTGAATTTAGAATCATTGAATCTTTTTGAATTACATTCGGTAAAACGATGATTGAAAAACCTGGGTAACGTATGATAGTTTTTTCACAGATGTCTCACGAGAACGGGAATTATGCGTCAATGCCCCAGGACTCTCTAACTCTTAACCACTGAACTTATTCTAGAGAGATTCGGTACAACAATAGTCGATAGAATAGTTTTTATTACTCAAACCTTACGTGATCGGGCACTGTACTGGTAAGATCCCTGCGGGATTATTTATTTATTGAAACTACGATCAATCATTTCAAAATAGGTAAATCTTACTTGGGCACTGAATTGATTCTGGTTAATTCTGTCAGAAGTCATTAATCTACGCGGACGGATTGTTCGTTACGGTTACGCCTGATGCTTTATATCCTTGTCATCCTTGATAGAATAACTTAGTTCATTCCAGTCACTTTCACGAAGCTGAGTAACTCACATAAAAAGTAACAACTTACATAAATGTTAAAAAGTAAAAAAATAAATAAAGATAAACGATAAGATAAATAAAAAGGAAAAAAATACATCAAAATCGGTTCACAAATAACGGAGATATTGGCGAACAAACATAAAAAAGCATTTATACGGTCGAATTGAGAATCTCCTCCTTTTACTATAGCTACTCATCATGAGAAATATCCTTACATGGTTCTCAACAATATCTGTCATGATACTTTGAAGCAAAAACTACCTATAAAAGCCTTTGAAACGAAAACTGCAATCTACTCGAGCGAAGTCACATGTGGAAACTTAAGGGCCTATTTCACAATGTAAGAGCCGCTATGTACCAGATATTAAGAACGTAATTTGTATAAACTACTTATTTATCGCATAAGTTTACCAGATACTTATATGAAGGTGGTGAAACGCGCGCTTTTGTTTTTTTTTATATTTATAAAGTACGGAGATGACACTACACAATAGACACAGCTGATGTCCTAGCATCATCACCGTTATCAGGTCATATCTCCCACTGATGGTACATTGATAACTAAGTAAAGTTTAATGTTTACTTTGTTCTCAACATCTTCCTACTTATCTCCGTTATCTGCTATGATTTTTACTGCTGAGTTCACGTGTGTGCACACAATAAAAATGCACAATGATGCACGGATTTTTTTCGTTGGTAAACAATATTTTTTTCCTTACCAATTAGGACAACTTGACGGAAATCTACTGTTTTGCATATAACAAAAAACCATCAACGCAATTAAGACAAATGAAAATAGAAGCTGAGAAAATACGTCAATAATGAATTCCATAGTGAAATAAATTGAATTATATAGGTAGATGTTATAAGGGCCTGCGTCACTAACTCTTAAAAAAAATTAAACAATTTCTGAAAGATGATTATTATTATTAAATAATTTTAAGTATTCTTTAACCAAGGGAACCAAGTTACGAATTTAGTAAAAAATAAATCAAATTAGAGGAAAATTTAACGGGATATGAGCAGAAACCATGCTTCTGATATTATTGATACCGTATTTTTTTAAGGGGGAAAATCATCGTATGTCTGCTCCCGCCTGGGTGAGGCGGGAGGGAGTGTCAGACTCTTACTGATTAAAAACCACCCCGTTCCTTCTCCTGCACGTCGGGCCGGAGCGGAGCCCCGGTAACCCGTTAGGTTCTCTGCGACTTGATACCGTATTTACGTGTTAAACTAGAAATAGTATCTATGTAAATGTAATAATTCAAAAATGTATTCATAATCATTTTAAATCTTGAATAAATCCGTAACTTCTTTTAATGCACATAATTAAATGACGTTCTCTCTGCATGAATTAGATAAGGTTTGTGTGCAGAAAACGCCAATGTGCAAATACACCACATTTTATAAAACAATGTAATTACTAAAGAACACAATTTCTTCGTACATAAACACCGAGAACGTAATATAACGTCCTTAAATATTTACATAATTATGTTATCACCATATTTTTCCTACATCACACATTTTAAACGTAACCGTACGAGTAGTAGCGCTCACAAAAATAATATTTTCAATGAATACGAGTTTGTAGTCTGAACATTCATACTTGAAACCAAGAAAGTAATTGATTCCTACAGCACTGGCTTGCGCAGTTCCATTATTCTTATTTAGGCTAATCACTGCGATAAACACTCGATTATCATTCATAATTTAGGTATTAAAGGGTGATAACTGCCGTGTATTTGTATATCTTTATGATTGTTATCATTTATATAGCTCACGATTAGACACCTAGTCGGATCGCAGGACTATTTAATATTTAGTTTGCCGTAACAGCTCTCATTAAACTAACGTTGTTGTAGCAATGTTAATATAAAATTAATCAAAGTAATTGTGCAAATGTATAGTTGTAGGACAAAGTGTTAGTGTAATATTTAATTTAAATAAATTCATCATGGACAAATCAAATAAAAATACTGTTTCAAACGGCACGGCCGCGGGCGAACCAAAAGAGAGAGTAAGAAAAAAACCAAACATATTTTCGCGTATATTTGTTTGGTGGATATTCCCTGTGCTCATTACTGGTAACAAGCGAGATGTTGAAGAAGACGATTTAATTGTTCCTAGTAAAAAGTTTAATTCTGAAAGACAAGGAGAATATTTTGAAAGGTAAGTTGGTACAACTTTTTTTAATAAGGTTTTTTAACGTTTTATTTACCTATGGCTATGTATAGTATGTTTTGAGTAAGTACTAAAGTACTTTCATTAAACGGTTCTGTCCGTCGAATCGATACAGTCTGTGCATATGCCGTGTTTGTCTCCTTTCATTGATTCTTCCCTTCATCTGCACAAATATTTGTATAGAGCGGCTGCACTATGTAACATTATGTTTGTGCACACTATTCTCTGTGTGCCTTTTCGTACTTCCGAGGAAAGTTAACAAGGATAACATTAATTTTGTTGCTGATTTATTCGGATAAAAATAATTTTGTATTTTTTTGACAAATTATCCTGAAATTTAATATACTTACGCACGCTTATACGTCATAATACAGGATATCTATCCTCCATTATTTATTAAATATGATGGCGTTATACCTATTAATGATGTAATTTTTGTTGGTTGATAATATTTATTTATCTAACCTGCCATTTGTAAGTCCATTGTTTTTATCGATTTACTAATCAAGTACAACATGTTTTTATATTTAATGATTCAACAAAGTGATATTTTTACATTCAGCGTAAAATTCAGGAAAAATGGACTTTGTGCTAAAGTAATTTAGACTTTGGTTTCGTGCGTTTATCTGCGTGCGGTGTATCGAATAGTAACCAATAAGTAGACAAATTGAAGAAGCATAGCAAGTTAGTTTTGCAACATGAAACCTAATTTCCAACATGTATAGATTTACTAACACATAAATGCCAACAATAGGTACTCATACTTATCCTGTACAGAAATCGATACCTGTGCTTGATCAATGCGGTTTAAGGATTTCAGGCTTTACATTAAAGTTTTCTTTAGATGTTTTCCTGCGCCTTACATGATTAGTATAAACTTTATAGGGGACATAGAACAAGTCATATTGGTTCATTTACAAACGATTTTTGTTTTTCGTCATAATTTAATTAAACAAGGACGTGTTTCCATGCTATAACAAGAGTGAAGGAAAATATATTTCATTCCTCTCCCCTTGCCTTTGTAAGACTTTATAAATTAGTTAAAAGCTTCGTAATACCTTCGCCGTATTTATACGAAATAACTTCGGAAATAAGAATTCGTAGCACGTTGAAAAAATTTAATCTGTTCGTGTTTACTTTAGCGACGTAATACGATTTCCAAGAACTTTATTTTCTTGTAAATATTCGCTGTGAAATTATTAATATTTAAGAAGTGCATTGAAGGTTTTCATAAAATATAATTATATTGAAGCCATGTTTTAATGTAGGGAGGTAAATAGATTTTAATATTTGTTCATGCTGAAAACACACTCAAGTTCTTTTTAAAAACAACAACTCGGTATTCTAAATTAAAATATTAATTGTTTGTATGCAATTACGTTGAGAATTGCAGCCACCATGCCCCTAAATAATAATCTATACATATTGTTCACGCAAGTAGTTACAAAGTACTCATTTAAAATATGTATTAATAATAATATTGTTTGTTTCCCAATTGTGTAGATATTGGTTCGAGGAGGTATCAATTGCTGAGAGGGAGAACCGAGATCCTTCGCTATGGAAAGCCATGCGCCGCGCTTACTGGTTGCAGTACATGCCAGGAGCTATTTACGTGCTGATCATTTCTGCATTAAGGTAAAAACCTCGTTTTAAGAGATACAATTTCTCTAAATTATAAAATCTCTTTGGTTTAAAAAACTTAGAAAGATAAATTTCTGTTTTTCGGGTCCGGAAAAGTAGTAGGCATAAAAAATATGAAATCTAGATTTATTATTTAAATTCATTCTTTGATTTACAATTTTATGTATTAAAAGATAGTTACAATATAGCGTCACATCGACGAAAAATGTAGAGGAATAAAAAATTTATAATTATTCAAATAAACGTTTGTTATAAATATAGGCTTAATACAAATGTGTCGATTATGTTTGTATTGTATTGTCCATGACGAAACCGTGTATGTTGTTACATATCCTTCATATCAGAGAGATAACAGTATTTTGATCTCTTCGATAGTGCAATAATAACAATAATAACGGGACCAGGTCTTAACGAAATAACTTCATATATGTCTAATTATATAAATATCTATAAACATGATAAGATATATAGACGAAATTGTGATTAGGTAATATTGTAACTATACATGTATTTTAGACACATATTATTCATACTCATTTAATAGTAATAAATACAATACGTATCTGTATATTTCTCTTTAGAAAATAGGAAAAGTGTTAAATATTTTCCTCGATAAATTAGGTATAAAATTATAAAGCGACATCAGTAGCGTATATATGAGCAGCAGGAAGCAGGCTGAAAATGTATTTATTAATATAGATAGAATCTTATTGTTATTAAAAATTTCTACATTTAGGTACGTAATGGATTTGTGAATTAATTTATACACACCTTCCCTGAAAGTATAAGCAGAGGTGAACTTACATTTTAATGATACTTACAGGAAAGATCTTCAGTTTTGATCTGACAAACAATGAATACCTAAAAATAATAATTGTATTAAATATAGGAAGCAATTTAAACTTAATTAATATGTTTTTCGGCTTACTCACGTAATTTTTTGACGAGGAACTCGACTAGTTTCAAGCCACGCGGCGACTATCGCGCTGCTATTACAGTCGCCGCGTCGCGTGTTCCGGAGTGCTGTTCATGAACGTGAACCTCTAGCATGGCTTGAAACTAGTCGAGTCTTACGAAATTTATAATTAAATTTAAACTTGTTAATTATACATATAGCAATAACAACGTTATAAATTTATGTTAACAGGACAGTTCAGCCATTGCTGTTCTCTGAACTCCTGTCCTACTGGTCAGTGGACAGTGAAATGTCGCAGCTGGACGCTGGTCTCTATGCCCTAGCTATGTTGGGGATCAACTTCATCACCATGATGTGCACGCATCACAACAACTTGTTTGTCATGCGGTTCAGTATGAAAGTCAAAATCGCCGCCTCGTCACTCTTATTTAGAAAGGTGAGGAATTAAAATAAGGTGTATAATAATGTTACTTGAGTAATGTAAAGACATTTTGTGTTTATACGTTACATCACAATGTTCTGTCCAGATAGATACCAACAGTTGAGTCTTGGTTTCAGTTGCTCCGGATGAGTCAGGTGTCAGTGGGCGATGTCGCAGGTGGAAAGCTAGTAAACTTGCTGTCAAACGATGTCGCAAGGTTTGACTACGCGTTCATGTTCCTGCACTACCTGTGGGTGGTACCCCTGCAAGTCGGAGTCGTCCTGTACTTTGTATACGATGCTGCTGGATGGGCGCCATATGTCGGTCTCTTTGGAGTCATCATATTAATCATGCCACTTCAAGGTACCAGACAGTTAATTACTCTCTTCAAATTTCTTCTTCTTCTCTAATCCTGGTATATCTTCTTTATCATTTTCCCCTCCAATTATTTAGTACTCTGAATAAGTATGTGTGTTAAACAATTATCTGTTTTGGATTGCAGCTGGTCTAACAAAACTCACTGGCGTTGTGAGGCGGATGACAGCTAAGAGGACTGACAAGAGAATTAAGCTTATGAGTGAAATTATCAACGGTATACAGGTAAGGGATTTGGAACATTATTGTATTGACTTCTACTGCTTTAAAAATGTGCATATGTATAAGGCTATTGTTTAAACTGAGTATAAGAATTATGTTAATTTCAGGTCATCAAAATGTACGCTTGGGAGAAACCCTTCCAGTTGGTTGTGAAGGCGGCGCGTGCGTATGAAATGAGTGCTCTGAGGAAATCTATCTTCATCAGGAGCATGTTCCTTGGGTTCATGTTGTTCACTGAGCGAAGTGTCATGTTTTTGACTGTGCTAACTTTAGCGTTGACTGGAAACATGATTAGTGCCACTCTGGTAAGTCATTGACATTATGCGACATAATGTTCCTAGAAAGTATTGGTACCTTTTTAACAGTATGTTCTTGTTTACAGATTTATCCCATCCAACAATACTTCGGTATTATCACAATGAATGTTACCCTCATCTTACCGATGGCTTTTGCAAGTTTCTCTGAGATGTTGATATCCTTGGAACGTATTCAGGGATTCCTGCTTTTGGGTAAATATTACTTATTCTTGTGTTATAAATATACATTTGCTTTGCACCAGTAAAGGATAAGTTTCTAGGTAATTATGTCCTGAAAGTCCTGTTTCATTTATGATGTACGTGTTTGTCATTGTTTTAGGTATTGGTTGTTATAAATTATTGTATTTTTGTTAACAGACGAGCGTTCAGACATTCAAATTACACCTAAAGTGAATGGTGCTGGAAGTAAATTGTTTAACAATCCCAAGAAGGAGGGAGGTCTCGAAACTGGCATTGTCCTGCCAACAAAATACTCACCTACCGAAGCGAACCTTGCAAGACCCATGCAGGATGAGCCTAACATGGCTGACTACCCAGTGCAACTTAACAAAGTGAATGCGTCTTGGGCGGATCTCAACGAAAGCAAAGAAATGACACTCAAAAATATATCTTTACGTGTTCGCAAAAATAAATTGTGCGCTGTCATTGGACCTGTGGGATCAGGAAAGGTAATATTCGAGGCCTTTTGCCTCGCCTCGAACCTCATGCCAAAATTTTCTCATTTATTTATTTATATTCTTTACAAGGTATTCAATTTATATCCTCGGTTTCAGACCTCTCTTCTCCAGCTTCTTTTAAGAGAGTTGCCAGTGACTAGCGGGAATCTCAGCATATCTGGTACCGTGTCTTATGCTAGTCAGGAGCCTTGGCTGTTCCCAGCTACTGTGCGGGAGAACATTCTCTTTGGTTTGGACTACAATGTCGCCAAATATAAAGAGGTAATTTTTATAACTAATGTTTTTGTTGTTGTTTAATATATATACTGTTTTAAATAACTGTAGTAGTATAAAATAATATAGGTAACAGCTTCCCGGAAATGTAAAATTTCGACATGCAACAGCCAGACAAAAATTGTATGAGGGCCGTTAACATTTTATGGCAAGAGTCAATTTTCCCGCTGATATATAATTCACAGCAATGGAAGCTGCCAGGCACGGTGTATTTTTCATGTATTTTTTCATTTTGTAGGTTTGCAAAGTCTGCTCATTACTGCCAGACTTTAAACAGTTCCCGTACGGTGACTTGTCTCTGGTAGGAGAGCGAGGTGTATCACTGTCTGGTGGTCAGAGAGCTAGGATCAATTTGGCCAGAGCTATCTACCGTGAGGTGAGTACACCCACATGTACCTACTTATGACATTGTTGTTTTGTATATCAATCTGCTGTAAATTATATTCGCATTGATGCCGGATATTTGATAGTAACCAAGTAGATATGCAATTATTATTAATCTTACAAGAACAATTTGATATCTCTTTCAATAGTACAGAGTGGGTATTTAGCTGATAAGCCTAATCTTTGATTTAATAATAACAGAATCTTTAAAATACGCGCAAAAAGTCAACCTTAAGTATTATTATAAAACAAGTATATGTTTTTAAATCCTATATCTTAAATTAGATAAGAATGAAAACGTCTTTTGAATGAAAATACAAAATTTTATCCCTGTTGTTCATACTATGGGGAATATCTACAGAGCAGTTGAGTATATGAAACATTTTTAACTAATTCTAGACGATCTTTTACAGGCTGATATTTACTTGCTTGACGATCCTCTGTCGGCTGTAGACGCCAACGTCGGCAGGCAATTATTCGACGGCTGTATCAAGGGATACCTCAGCGGCAAGACATGCATCCTGGTCACCCATCAAATTCACTACCTTAAAGCTGCAGACTTTATTGTAGTCCTAAACGAGGTAAGTTTCACTCCCTACAAATACAAGATAAGCAAAGAATTTAATTTATTAAACTTATCTTTTCGATACTTGTAAAAACACTATTATCAATACACGAGTCATTCTTACGCGGCTCATTTCAATGACAAATATTATTAGTGGAATTAGAAATAAAAATAATTACTCTTACTGCTATGGGAATTCTGCGTACATTGTTATGTACTGAAAAGGTCCAAATATGTTCCATAGTAACTTTGACCTTGACTAAATTCTATTACATAAACAGCAAATTCACGTTTTCTGATGTATAAGTAAGAAAATATGATATACGAGTGATATCTCTGTGTCCCCAGGGTTCCATTGAAAACATGGGCTCGTATGATGAACTTATGCAAACTGGAACGGAATTCTCGATGCTGCTCTCTGACCAAGCCAGTGAAGGGTCTGACACAGACAAAAAAGTAAGTGCTCGCCTAATATCAGGTATACTCCATTTCGACTGTAAACTTGAACGTTTGCCAGAAAACAGCTTTCTACATTATCTTGTCTACATCGCTGAACAAGCTTCGAACACACGAACAAATAAATTAAACGTTTGTATTTTACCCGACACATACACACAGGTATTTTAAAATTAGAATATTTCCCATTACGGAATACTTATTTATTATGTAGCGTACCTACAGTCTGCAAGTCCGAGGTAACAATTCAACCTTGAGGCTAGGAGTGAATCTATTTCGTTGCAGTAATTGAAGGCCTTGTGTTTCACCTGTGCTTTAAAAAATATTGATTTTCTTTGTATTTTTAAAGGAACGACCTGCAATGATGCGAGGAATATCAAAGATCTCAGTCAAAAGTGACGACAATGACGGCGAGGAGAAGGTCCAAGTATTGGAAGCCGAAGAGAGACAGTCGGGCAGTCTGAAGTGGGATGTGCTTGCGAGGTACATGAAGTCGGTCAACTCCTGGTGCATGGTGTTCATGGCATTCCTCGTACTGGTGATCACGCAGGGTGCTGCTACCACTACTGACTACTGGCTTAGCTTCTGGTAAGAAGGCTCTTATAATACTAAATACTTATTTAAAAAAACTTAAATAACATCGAAAATATATTTTTTTCTTTGTTCTAATTGAAATAATCTGATTTTAGGACCAACCAAGTGGATGGTTATATACAAACTCTACCTGAAGGAGAAAGCCCAGGTAACTATAATTTTATTATGGCACAACTTATTGATTAAACTTTTATCTTGTACTCAAAATATTACAAATTGTAAACACAAAATATAATTTCTTTTTTACAAGTTTTTCTTAGTTTCTTTGATTTACTTTGACCTACAACTTATTTCTGTATTATTATTTCAGATTCTGATTTGAACACACAAGTCGGTCTGCTAACAACCGGACAGTACCTTATAGTGCACGGCAGTGTAGTATTAGCCATTATAATATTGACGCAAGTCAGAATACTTTCCTTCGTAGTGATGACTATGCGAGCTTCGGAAAATCTTCATAACACCATTTACGAGAAATTGATAGTAGCTGTAATGAGATTTTTCGATACCAATCCATCGGGTAAGTGTAAATCAATAGTATGTTGACCTTTGCTCTTTTCACATGAATTGCCATCTTAAGGTATGAGTTAAGCAATTTGTTAACATTGTCGTGAAAGTTATTACAAAGGTTGTTTTAAATCAAAAAGGTTTTCTTACGTATTATACATCATGAGATAACAGTAACTACTATTTCTTTTTATACGATTTTATGCCATCTCTCCATTCCATTGAAACAGTAACGAAGCCAGTATTATAGTTTTAAGTACCTACAATTGCTTGAGTGGCGGAGGTATACCTACCTAATTAGCTGTAATGATATCTGGCGATATGCCAACCTTACTGTCATTGAGTCTTAACTTTTATGCAAAGCGATTGCAATGCCCAATGAACGCAGAGGCCAAATAACCAAGGTTTAATGCATACTATGAAACTTCTTACTTTAAATACACTGCACTAGCAAAATATTCAATGTCTTTTCACTTAGAAAATATTAAAGAATGTTACTGAATTCTATACAGGATAATGCCTCCTAATTAATGAAAATAATCGTAATATAATCCCAATATTCTTTAGACAATAATTATCAGGCAAATATAGACGTGGTATTTACTCTTGTTTGATGTCTAGATTCTAGCAATACTCATGTTTTACGGTTTTGTCTCACAGGTCGTGTCTTGAACAGATTCTCAAAGGATATGGGTGCAATGGACGAGCTGTTACCACGAAGCATGTTGGAAACTGTACAGATGTACCTGTCTCTTGCCAGTGTACTCGTGCTGAACGCCATAGCGTTACCATGGACATTGATACCTACCACAGTGCTGATGATCATATTTATATTCCTATTAAAGTGGTACATTAACGCTGCTCAAGCTGTGAAACGATTGGAAGGAACAAGTAAGTATCCTATATTTAATACGTTTAACACGTTACCCACCGCGTAGGTCACCGGTAATCTACGCTACGTCAGCGAAGTAATTTGCCTTTAACAGTGTTTTGTCAGCACTCAAAGGCTTTTTCTTAGAAATTCAATTTTTAAAAATATGCTTAAAATTTGTTTGCTTTGGCTTTTAAGCATTTAGATATAATTCAATAAAAATATATTCGTAACCAGTTAAAAGTGGGACTGAAAGAGTTGAAGCATTATTTGGAGCATTGAAAATCATTATTTTAATCGTTTGCGACTAACTACATTGCTATTTAGTTACTGAATAACTGCTAGTTGGGAAACGATATTTATTTAAATAGGCTGGTTACTTATGAGTTTTTGATAGATAATTCTATGTTTTAATTTTCAGCCAAGAGTCCAGTGTTTGGAATGATCAACTCTACTATTTCTGGACTCTCTACCATTAGAAGTTCCAACTCTCAGGACCGACTTCTAAACTCATTTGATGATGCACAGGTGAGCATTTCAATTTTCAAATAATTATAGTACGAGAACTTATTGGGCTAAATTCCTTTGAAATTATCTAAGAACTAGTACCCAAATCATCACTTAGATGATTTGGGTACTAGTTTTGTTAATAATATTAATTATTTTTCAGAATCTCCATACCAGCGCTTTCTACACATTTTTGGGTGGTTCGACCGCTTTCGGTCTGTACCTGGATACGCTATGTTTGATCTACCTCGGAATCGTTATGTCCATCTTTATTCTTGGTGACTTCGGTAAGTGATTCTTTACGAATATTTTTATGAAAGCTTCCATCATATTTAAACAACGTTTTCAAATGAAGCCTTTGATCAACAAGCCTGAAATGTGATTTGTGACACTGGGTTTGATTACCAAATGCTCAATCAATTTTACAGACAAATTCAACATATTTTAGTGAAGTTTTAAGGATGAATTAACAGTAGTAAAATTATAGAAATTTACTTTAGATTCAAATAGTATTCAACAGCTATTGTGTTTAATGTAATTAATTCTTGTATTTTCCCCCAGGTGAGTTAATACCGGTTGGTAGCGTGGGTCTGGCCGTCAGTCAGTCTATGGTGCTCACTATGATGTTGCAAATGGCCGCCAAGTTCACAGCCGACTTCTTGGGACAGATGACAGCCGTGGAGAGGGTACTGGAATACACTAAGTTACCCACCGAAGAAAACATGGAGACTGGACGTAAGAGATAATTTTATTACTAACATTTTAAGCCCCTTAGGTAATTTTTTTGAGTTCAAAATTGACCTAAGCACCTTTTTTTTAGAGTTTGGAAAATTGTTTTTCAAATAGTACCTAAACAAATCATTGAAGCATGGGGAATTATGTAAATATTTTATGAATTCAGTTATTTTCGTATACTAATTGAGTTTATAATTACAGCGACAACCCCACCAAAGGGATGGCCAAGTGCTGGAGAGTTGACGTTCTCCAACGTATACCTCAAATACTCTCCTGATGACCCGCCTGTACTGAAGGACTTGAACTTTTCTATCAAGAGTGGATGGAAGGTAATGTTGTTTTATAAAAACTTTCAAACTATTATGTTAATAGTTAATTTACTATTTATATCTGAGAATGAATTCGTCTAAAACCGACCGAATTCGAAACAGTGGAATCTTTGTTTCTTTTCTTTACATTGATGAAAAGCAATATCTACAATAATAAAATCGTAGGAAAGTGAAAACTGTACATCGAATATTATTTTAAAAGAATGCTTTTGGCGTTATCTATAGTCGATACCGAAACCAAAAATATGGTTTTTAGATTTTTTGTCTGTTTGTCTGTATATATGTCCCGGATGAACTCAAAAAGTGCGGCATGAATTTACTTCAAATTTTGCATAAAAATTATTAACAGGTCGGGTCAACATATAGGCTACATATTATCATACTATCAAATCAACTACGGGGGAGGAGCTGTAAATCAGTATTCCACGGGAACTAAGTCGCGGGCTTAGCTAGTTTGAGTATATTTAATGAGCAATGTTTGTTGTACACAGGTCGGAGTAGTTGGCAGAACTGGTGCTGGCAAGTCCTCGTTGATATCAGCTCTGTTCCGGCTCAGCGACATTACAGGCAGTATCAAGATTGATGGCCTGGATACGCAAGGAATTGCCAAGAAGGTAAGGAACCATATTATTCTGTAAATTCAATTAATTCAATACTAAATTAATTTCACTACTTTCTACTTTGGATTATTTTGCTACCCTAATACGTAGGTGCTTTCTTTTCACCAAGCCTATCTCGTATACAAAGTACTTTATTATGTTTTTTTAATTATTACATCGCTAATACAGACAACAGTGGTAATAAAAAAAGGATTCAGGTTCTTGTCTTAATTTGGAACATTAATGCAGTGCTAACTTTTTATGTTTGCAGCTTTTGAGATCAAAAATATCAATAATTCCGCAAGAGCCAGTGTTATTCTCTGCCTCGCTGCGTTATAATCTGGATCCATTCAACGACTACAACGATGATGATATTTGGAGAGCATTGGAACAGGTACGATATGACCTTTAATAAATAACTTAAAGTTCATCTTTTATTGTATTTGCGATACAAATTAAGCTCAATCATGATCTAACGATACAATTGTAGTACAAGATCATTTGTGTAATCTAATCTTCGACTGTGAATTATTTTGTTATCCTAATTAAACATAAACTGTACTGCCATGTCTCTTGAAATAAACTAATTACTAAATATGTCATTAAAGGTGGAGCTAAAGGAGAGTATACCAGCCCTAGATTACAAAGTGGCGGAAGGTGGCACCAACTTCTCGATGGGACAACGCCAGCTGGTGTGTCTGGCGCGTGCTATACTCCGCTCAAATAAAATTCTCATCATGGACGAAGCTACCGCTAACGTCGATCCTCAGTAAGGCTAAATATTGATTTTATGTCACGAAACATGTTATACATACCTAAATAGTATACTATCTCAAACATTGCAGCATTTTACAACAATTTAATCATGCAAACATAAGTTATAATTTCTCTGTAAATAACAAATACCTAATACTCATTACAATTTTTTTTATTTCAGGACGGATGCTTTGATCCAGAAAACAATTCGTAAACAATTCGCGGCGTGCACCGTGCTCACGATCGCGCATCGACTGAATACCATTATGGACTCAGATCGAGTACTAGTCATGGACCAGGGAGTGGCCGCGGAGTTCGACCACCCCTACATCTTGCTGTCTAACCCCAACAGCAAGTTCTCCTCAATGGTGAAAGAAACAGGCGACAACATGTCCAAGATATTGTTCGAAGTAGCCAAAACAAAATATGAAAGTGATGCCAAAACCGCTTAGTAACAAATAATAAAATTTTAGTTTGTAATAGATATAGTTGTAATTGTAATATAGTTAGATAAGTAAATTTATTTATTTTTACACAATGACAAAACTGTTTTTCATTGCAAAACATCCCTGACGAAACGATTTATTTACTTTACTTCTATTGGTTGACGTCGAATTAAAATTGCCTAACTCTCTATTCACATAAATCATTTAAGAAACTCCTAGAAAGTATTAATCGTCAATTAAGTTAAGTAGGTTAGTAGGGTCGCAATACGTGGTTCCCTATATTTTCATGTACATAATGAATGGCAGTTCCAAATACATTAGCAGGTGAGGAAGTATTTAACCCCGGGCGCAAGCTGCTCTCAGCTGAAGCTGTTTTGTAAATACAATCTAACTTTCTCTGGCTCCGGTACGCGCAGGAGCAAAACTTCGCTCCTGTTCTATACCTATATAATGTTAGGCTACATGGCTTTAAGTACATACATTAACCGTTACACAATTACCAAAAGTCGTTTCTTTTTACTGCTTTTTAGTTTCACAAGGAAATTGTATCTCTGAGTATGATCAAAGCTATTCTAACAATATTCGTAAATTAAGTTTTCATCGGTAAACGTTCCTAACGTGACCATGATAGAAGTGCAAACGAAACGCAGATCGTTGTACAAATTTTGAAGTAAAATAACATTATTCCATGCATATACGTAACATAGTACCTACCCAATTTACATCTTTGCTGCACACTGCTGCACACTGATATGATAAGACTATTGCTGTATCACAGGTCATAGACTCAACCGCATAAGGTTTGGAGGTTTTCCAAGGTTTTCAGTGCCGAGGCGAGGATCAAAGATCTTATAAAATCATAAAAACTCTTAATGACAAGCGTTTATACTCTGTACAACTTTGACAAATGTCACAATAATCATTCGGAAAAAGACAGTTAAAAATGTAAACGTAACATTTCTAACAAATTCCATCTGAAAAATAGTGCCTATACACATCTTTTCAAAACAGTATGGATTGATAAATATATTTAAGTTGGTTGAGTTCCAATCATGCGTTGCTGCGATGGCCCAAACCCTTGCTGCGACAACTCCCTGTTCAAGAATCCTCATGTGGCATACATCGCAGCTTTGCTCGTCATGGTCATCATCTACCTATCGTGGTCACTTTATCGGTGCCAATTCTGTGATCCCTGCCGTAGGCGCTAAATCAACTCAAGCTTGAACGAATGAGTAAATTTTTATTTATTTATTTTTCCAACTAAGGGATCGTGTGTATAGTGTAACATTGGTTCACCTACATGTCGTGAAATGATTCGATGTCCTTAACATGGCAAAAGTTCGACTACATTGTCGAATTGAGAACCTCATCTGCATACAATTATACATACTGTACTTACGGACTTAAGCAATAAATACTTACCTACCTTAAAAATATTCCTTCCAATAGTTTTATTATAATACAAAATAAATAGTGAGCTACATCACATGCCGCCACGCCCTCTCCTCTTAGTTCTCCCACGAGGTTGCGCGTTGCATTGCGTTGAATATTGCGGAGTTTTAATATGAAGAAAAATTTTCTTTTCATATACTTCAGTTTATTTCACCAGAAGAACCCGTATAATATTTTAATAACAACGTATACCTATCTACATACGTACGTTATTTTAATTCATTTTTAGTTATGACTAGCGTTGAAGCGTGAAGCCTCCTACAAAATGTATCGTTATTATTGAGGCGTAATTTGTGGTTAAGCTCGCAGTCATTGCATCGCTAGCGACGCGTGCCGTATAGGTTGTTCAAAATAGTAACGACACATTCCACATTCATACCTATTGAGTGGCTAATTAAGTTCATTTTAGCGTAATGTTTAGCCACCTGTATTTTAATTACAATGCCTTCAATTTCTACTGTAGATTTGCACAAGTGCTGGACAATTTTGGGAAAATTTTTTTTTTAGTTAGGTACCTAAGTATTTTGATCTAAAGTATTTTTTTAGTTTGTGGGACCGTACGCATTACGAAGAATTTAATTACTGGTAGTTTCAGTATTAAATTCTTACCATGGATTTTGCACTCGAAAATTAGATTCTAATACTTATGCGTGTTAATTCTCATAAAGTTTTGTGAAATGATAAAACCCCAGAATTAATGAACGGAATATTAATCCTCTTTATGCATGTTGAATCATATAAAACTATTGATAGCATAAAGAATCGTTGTCATGTTTGACAAAGTCACACCAAAATTATGGCGTCTCATAATTTAATAAAATCCGAAATAAAAATAGTAGAACAGTGATCACAATGAAGATAGACTAGAAGAACAATGTATAATACGTATAATGTAAGATGGGTTGCTGTGACGGCTGTACCGATGATAGCTGGGAAGTTTTCTTTGACGACCACAAAGCGCATGGGTTCCTACTAGGATTATTATGTATCGCGCTGGTCCTGGCCTACAAACTATTTCGCTGCCAACATCCCCGACGCCGCCTGCTCTGCACTTTGTATCCATTTTAAAAGGTTTATAATAATAAAATCCAATAACGATGTATCATTTTACTTAGTTTAAAAAGGTTCACCGGACCTCTGCGAGTTGGCTACGGCCGCTCGTATGCCTTCTAAATGACTGTGGTCTTATGAATGTAAAGAAAAGCACAAAAATTTTCAATTTTATTTTTATTACAATACTCTAAAAGTTTATGTACTTAGTACTTACAGAACCTATCACAAATATATACAAATTTATCCTAATAGTAACTCTGGTTTATGCTTTTAGTTTATCTCGCGTTTTCTTTCAGATTACTTTGGAAGTAAGCGTCTTTGGCTACTTGGAATAAGTTAGCACTGTTCTTCTCCCCGGTCTCCCGCACCATGGCGGAGAAGTGACTGTTGGGGTCGGAGAGCAGCACGTACGGGTGGTCGTACTCCGCCACCTGGCCGCTGCTCATGACGAGCACCTTGTCGGAGTCCATGATCGTGTTCAGTCTGTGAGCTATCGTCAACACGGTGCATGATACGAACTGCCGGCGAATCGTCTCCTGGATGAAGTTGTCCGTCCTGCAACACAAACCAGACTGTCAATCACTGCTGACTTCCTCTGAAATATGCATGTAATTCCCCAAACACTCACTGAGGATCTACGTTCGCCGTAGCTTCGTCCATAATTAAGATCTGATTGGATCTCAACACAGCGCGCGCCAAACACATCAGCTGCCGCTGGCCCACTGAGAAATTAGAACCTCCTTCTGTTACTTTGAAATCCAAAGACGGTATAGCTGACTTCAAGTCGACCTGCAACAATCAAATGTTATAGTTTATAAATATCTCAATAAAATCTGTTACAAATCACATCGTTTTACTGACGAGTCTTACCTGTTCGAGAGCTCTCCAGAGGTCGTCGTCGCTGTAAATGTCAAACGGATCCAAATTGTATCGGATTGTCGCAGAAAACAGGATCGGTTCTTGTGGAATAATTGAAATTTTCGATCGCAGTCCCTGCAAATAACCATAAGTTAGGAAATAATGGCCGCCTACACGGTCTCGCATAAGTAATAATGTAACCGTGAAATTCGTACCTGTCTCGAAATCAGCGAAGTATCGAGTCCGTCTATGGATATTAATCCATCGAGGTAGGCGAATCGGAATAATGCTGATATCAAAGAAGATTTGCCAGCGCCCGTCCGCCCCACGATCCCGATCTGTACGTACAAGTAAGTATATTATTACTGAAATTCACGACATATTTTGAGGTACACAAAGTTATTACGGATCGTAATTTGTAGCTAAGCGTAGGAATGCTTACCTTGTTTCCGCTTTCGATAACAATGTTCAAATTTTTAAGGACGGGTTGTTCGTTTGGCGCGTACCGTAGAGAAACGTTTTGAAACACAATCCTTCCTTGGTAGGGCCAATTTGGCGGCATTTCGACTTCTGGAGACAAATGAGAATTTGAACAAAATTTTATAAATAATCCCTGCGCTACTTCGTAAATGTAAATAAATGAATGAGTTCTTTTCTGACTTTAATCAGCAATAATAAAAATAATACAGAGTTTTAGTTTTTCTTTTAATACCTATATAATTACTTTATTCTGTAAAATTTTATCAAAGGTAGGAAATAAGTTATGTAAGTATATGTATATTTTAATTAAAATTTTGTATTGTGTGTGAGCTCATATAAGTTCGTGACAGTGAGTGGTACTGACTTCCTTGGAACAAGTCTGGTTCGGTGTCGATGCGCGTGTACTCGAGGATGCGCTCGACGCTGGTGAGCTGCGCGAGGAACTCGACCAACATGCGCGCGCCATGCTGCAACATCAACGTCAGCGTGTTGCTCTGCGTCACCGCTAGGCCAACGCTGCCCACTGGTATCGCGTCCCCTATAATACGAAATAACAGTTAAAATATAAGTTAAAGTTCAAATCATTTATTTGAATTAGACTTTTTGGTCTAGTGGATCTTAATTCACTATCGACCTCTTACGTAGTCGAGACTTAAAAACAATGATACCGGGTCGAATATTTAAAATCAAGGTCTATTGTAAGTTCACCTTTTATATGAGACTCATGTCATATTCTATACTTTTCTTCATCTAAACTAAATACACGAATGAAATTATTATTATGAATAGATTAAGTACCTATACATTCGATGAAAACAATTTTCGCTGAATACATCCTAGATTTAACGAATTAGTAATGAATACTTTCCCGTTTAAATCTATAACATACCTACCAATAAATTATCAAATGCAGTCCCTAAGGTGTAAGTTACTTAGTTATACCCACGCCGGTTCAAACATCGTCACTAAATTTTCAAACTTTACCAATTGAACTTTAGCCGACCATTCGCTTTACGGTTGATGCTCGCAAATATTATTGTTACTGTCAACAGTCTCAAATTCTCTCTTTAATGATTTAATCACAGAGATTTTGTTTAACATTATTTGAAGTTAGGTTTAGTAGAGACTAAGTCATATTTACCAAAATCGATGAAGAGGAACACGAATATGATGGTAGTCATGTATACCAGGCACATTGTATCCAAATAGAATCCAAACGTTGTTCCTCCATTTAAGTAACTGTTCCACGAAGTAGTGTGAAGATCCTTGAAACAAAGTAAATTAGTGTTAAGCAATTCAGTAATATTTTTAAATAGGTACATAAAATTAATATTCTATGTCATAATTTACCTGGTTGTCGTCAAACTGTTCAATCAATCTCTCTTGAGCATTGGATGCTCTGATAGTGGAAATACCACTCAGTGATGACGTCACTGTTCCAAACATTGGACTTTTTGCTGTAAGAAAGGATTCATTATGAATGAATGTAAGTAAGTGTACACAAATATGACTTGCAACCTATTTAAGTCCCCATTTTATTTTCTTTTTCAAAGTTGAGAAGCTTTGATATATAATTCTCCAAAGGATCCCTTGTAAAAGTAACAGTATTGCACCGTAAAAACTTTATGTGCCACATGTCGCCTGGCTAGGAAGAGATCGTACCATTTATAACGTTTAAATAAGATTTATGAACACTTCACACAGAGACAAGTCACCTTTTAAGTAATCAATACGTACTTGTGCCTTCTAATCGTTTAATGCCTTGTGCTGCCTTTAAGTATATTCGTACCATAAAGCCGAATAGAACAAGTAGTACTGCTGAAGGTACTAGGGTCCAGTAAAGGGCAATGGCGTTGAGTACCAGGATAGCAGTCAAAGTTCCGTAGATCTGTAGGACATCCAATAAAGTACGAGGCAGGATCTCATCGAGAGAACCCATGTCCTTCGTAAAACGATTCAAGATACGACCTGTAATTAAATAAAGCAATTTAAAATGTTAACTAAGATTGCCGACCTCAGCGAAATCCACTGCCGGACTTTGGTACTCCTCTACGTAAGCGGATTTCTCATAATCTCCAACCGTGGCAATATAGCAAACAGTACATTGACTTCAACTAAAATGAAAAGGGGTATATTAATACCTGAAGAACTAGTGTCGAAGAACCTCATGATTCCTCTCAGCATAGTCGAGAACATCTGGTTGTGTAGTTTGGCTGAGGCGGAGACGCAGAGGTAGGCGAAGGGGAACACCCGCAGGTTGACCATCAACACCAAAGCAGCCACCAGGCAGCCATGGATTATTAGGTACTGACCCACTGTGAACCGACCCGCCTGCACGTCCAAACCGGGCTCTGAAAACAACGATTTAGGACAAATTGTTAAGATTTTTTTATTCATATTTTAGTAACCCTAAATACATTTGCCATTCGAACGAAGTTTATTCTAATAACATTTGCATATAAAACTGCAAAATACAGTGAAATAATTCATGCCTAATTTAACCTAATACGTATTTAACTATGTTAATACATAGACAACTTTTTTTCGTGATGACGGGGGGAACCTTCAAAAGGCGCCTAGCCTTTTTGGGGATGGAGTGAGAAGACTATGGAGTATGGGATTTTTACCTCACTAAAACCACACCGGTGGCCACCCTCAACACCTGAATGGAGGCACCGGGTCCTCTAAACGAGACCTGCTCCGGAGCCTCAACGGTGCAACGCCTGTTACGACACATCCCTAGGGAATACTTAGACAACTATATTAACTAAATGATGATAAGTCACAAAAATAGCTGAATATCGGTTTTTAGCAACTTTTATTACTGTGTTAATTAATAATTTAGATCACAGTTGACATTCTATGTTCAAACTTTTAATTGGATTACCCAAACTGACGCATTCTAAATTCCAAACATAATCCAAATACATAGGTATGTAGTACATTGGGGTGCGGTGCCAGAAGACCTCCCCGTGGTGCACCCTGGGTACAGGTGATAGTCTCCCTAACGGGGGCGATAGGGTTGGAGTGGCTATTGCCTGTAGCTAACTTCTGGATGGGGCGGGAGAACCCAGGATGGGTTCTGGAGGCGGCGGGCTTCGTGCTGGCACAAAGCCTGTGCTTCCGACGGGTAGTTTTTCCGCTCGCTTCTCTGAGCTGAACAGAGAACGGGTTGGATGAACAAGGGCGGTACCCGTTGTTCACTTACCCTGCCAACGGGTAGCATCGGGGCACGGGTTGTCCTCGATCGCAGCCGTCAGAGTCGTAATCCGGGAAGAGTTCATAGCTTTATGACTCGGAACGGGACGAGGGTCTTGGCTTGGTCGCCCGGACCGCGAGGAAGATAACCTCTATAAAAAATTCCTCCAATACCAAGTTCTGGTGCGCGGCGAGGGTATGCATGGCTGAGGAGATGTGTCAGTCGCGAGCGCACCCCCAGCTAGGGTACCGGTGGACCCTCTAGTTGGGTACTAAATGTACACTTACCTAGGGACAGGGGGCACTCCCTAGGTGGACCTTTTATATCCCCCATTCTCGTGGGAATCTTATGGATACTTTAACAAATAAAAAACTAAAAGATGATGATAAGGAGGTGAAAAATTCGATTTCGAGCAAGAATAGTTCGTGTTCAGGCACGAAAGGAAGGACAACGCGGTCGCACTTTAAGCGACCGGCTACACCAATGGGAGGATTAGCAAGTGACAGTGGTGAGTCTGATTGCTCGCAAATGTCATCGGTCTCTCAAATGTCGACGGTGTCAGTAACGGCGCGGGCACGTAAGCGTACCCGAACAACGGCTAGGTCGGCGGAGGCTGCCATAGGAGTCGAGGCTGGATCCGATAAAGACGCTTTGGAAAGACTGGCCAAAGAGAACACAGACCTACGATCTCAGGTAGCTAGCCTCAAAGAAGCTGTTGCTGCACTACAAAACCAGCTTAACTTACTATCCCAACCGGGAGAAAAACCAAAGTCGTCGGTGCCTGGTCTAGCACCAGATGTGGAGGCTGAACTTCGACGCTCTATCGCCATAGAGATTGGCACCATGATGGACGCGAAGCTAGCCGCTCTAGAGGGCAGATTGCTGCCAGAGAAGTCGGTACGCCCAGCTCTCGCCTCAGATGTCAGGAGACTTGTTGCCTCTGAGCCAGTCCAGACGGAGGCGACAGCCGGAAAGAAGAAAAAGAAGAATAAGAAGAAGAAAACTATAGCAATCACACCAACTGTGACTGCAGCATCACCTGCAAGAGAGTCAACTTCGACTGCAAAAGATGGACAACCGGGAGCAACAAATTCCCAGGATACAACCACGTGGTCATTAGTGGTGGGACGCAAGGCCAAGAAGGCAAATACCCAACAACCAACTGCTTCATCCGCCTCCGCTGCACCGGCTAAGTTATCTAAAAAACTGTCAGTGAAACTGCCAAAAGTTCCCGCTTCGGCAGCGATCACTGTACGTGTAAGGGAGGGTGCAACCATAGGTCTTGGGGAAATACTTGCTGAGGCAAGGCGACGAATCAGTCTCTCAGAGTTCGGTATTACCAGTGACTCATGCCGTGAGAAACGTGCTGCTGATGGTGGAATTGTTTTCATGATCTCAGGTGAAGATTCTTCTTTCAAGGCTGATCGTCTCGCAAGTCGTATGCGGGACGTCCTTAGGGAATTTGAGGTGCAAATTGGACGTCCGACTAAAATGGCTGAGGCAAGGGTTATGGACTTGAACGACGCTGTAACCCCAGGGGAGGTGGCAGCGGCCATTGCTATGGCGGGGGGATGTTCCACGGAAGAAATTAAAATGGGTGAAATTCGACGTCCCCCTTCTTCCTTGGGGCATGTATGGGTTCGTGGCCCTTTGGTGGCTATGAAAAAACTGGCGTCTGACAAGCGCATGCCATTAGGATGGACGTCAGTTAGAGTCGAAGTTCTGGAACCACGTCGCATGATGTGCTACCGCTGTTTTGAGCCAGGACACGTCAGGCGTATGTGCACCAATTCTGTGGACCGGAGCTCTCAGTGCTATGCCTGCGGTGGTGACCACAAAGCTCGTGAGTGTACCTCGCAAAGCTTAAAGTGTCCAAGGCCGCCCTGCAAACCACCGTCTTGGAGGAAAACAATGTAATCCTCAAAAGAAACGGTCGCAAAAGAAATTGCAAGAGACGTCAGCTGCACCTCAAAGTGTAAGCACCCCAGAGGAAATGGACACGTCACATTCCCAGCCCTGAAAGTCCTGCAATGCAACTTGAACCACTGCCGCGGTGCGCAAAATTTATTCATGCAAACCGTTGCGGAGTGGTCGGTTGCATTGGCGGTAGTAGCAGAGCCCTATGGTCTCCAAGATCATCCTCGCTGGTTCCGTGATACAGTAGACTCGGTTGCAATTTACTGGGCTGGAGGGGGTGGTGACCCTCATTGTACCTTGTTAGACAGGGGCCAGGGAATTGTGGCTGTCGAGTGGGGACCAATAGCCGTGGTGGGATGCTACGTGTCTCCGAATATCTCTCTCATTGATTTCGAGAGATACTTGGATGGTGTAGCTAATTGCATTCGGCACAAATGCTCACCCCGTCCAGTATTAATCCTGGGTGATTTTAATGCTCACTCCAGAGCATGGGGTAACACTCGGGATAGGCCTAGGGGACATGCAGTTCAGGACTGGGCGGCTTCACTTGGCCTTTGTCTCATGAACCGAGGATCTATTGCCACCTGTGTTCGGTGGCAAGGAGAGTCAATTGTAGACCTAACATGGGCGTCTCCTTCTCTAGCCTCCAGAATTATGAACTGGAGGGTAGCTGAGGAGATGGTTACGCTTTCCGACCACCGTCACATTGTGTTCGAAGTGGCATCCAGTCCATCCGATAGGCGAAGTCGTCCAAGTTCTAACCCACCGGCACGCCGTTGGGCCCTCAAAAAGCTCGATCGCGAATTACTCATTGCAGCTGCTAACGTTGTTGCCTGGCCCGAAGATGGTTCCCAACGGATCTCGCCCGATCCAGAAGAAGAGGCTGCTTGGTTTCGGGACAAAATGACTTCAATCTGCGACGCTTCTATGCCCCGAGTCAAATGTAGCCAGCGTCCTGGAGCGGCTTACTGGTGGTCAGCAGACATTGCACAGTTGCGTGCTGTTTGTCTGAGGCACCGACGTCAGTTCCAGCGCACCCGACGAAGAAGACAACCGAGCGCCACGGAAGAGCAAATCACTAGAGCCTACAGAGCATACAGGGAGGCAACTATGGGTCTCCAACGTGCCATTGCAGATGCCAAGTCCCGGTCCTGGAGGGAACTCCTTGAGGGGCTGAATAGAGATCCTTGGGGAAAACCGTACCGTCTGGTGATGGGTAAACTGCGCCCGTGGGTCCCCCCCCTTACGGAGACCATTGATCCGGATCTACTGGAAAGGGTGATAAATACACTCTTTCCAGTAGTTATAGACAGTCCCTCACTACCCCAACCATTATCAGATTGGTCCCCTGACTTAGGGGTAACAGAAGGAGAGTTAGACCGAGCTGTGCGTAGATTGAGTGCGCGAAACACCGCGCCTGGCCCGGATGGTGTCCCTGGCCGTGCGTTGGTGTTGGCTCTAGGTGCTCTAGGGGACCGTCTGAGGCGGTTGTTCAATAGCTGTCTTCAGTCAGGCGTGTTCCCCAGCCGTTGGAAGGAAGCCGGATTAGTCCTCTTAAAGAAGCAAGGCAGGCCCGCAGAATCACCCTCTGCATATCGTCCCATTTGCCTGCTCGACGAGGTTTCCAAGCTCTTTGAAAGAGTGATTGCTGAAAGGCTCGTCGGGCACCTGTCGAGAGTTGGTCCCGACCTGTCTGAGAACCAATATGGTTTCCGGCAGCAGCGTTCCACCATAGATGCGATACTGCGCGTCCGCTCGCTTTCGGATCAGGCAGTGTCCCGGGGTGGGGTTGCGTTGGCAATAAGCCTAGATATCGTAAACGCCTTTAACTCCCTACCCTGGAAGGCAATCAGGAAGGCTCTTGTACATCACAGGATTCCTTCCTATTTGCAGAATATTGTCGGGGCTTATCTGCACGACCGGCACATTCGCTATGTGGGCCGGGACGGTAGCGTCCAGCGGAGGGAGATTACATGCGGAGTTCCACAGGGATCTGTCCTGGGTCCTTTATTGTGGAACCTCGCTTATGATGCGGTCCTGCGTGTCGAACTTCCCGCTGGTGTCCATGTCATTTGCTACGCAGATGACACGTTGGTAATGGCTAGTGGAAGTACCTTTGAGGAGACTATCCGGCTTTCAGAGCTCGGAGCGGCAAAAGTCGTGGCTTCAATCCACGAACTGGGTTTAGAGATAGCGCCTCATAAAACTGAGGCTCTATGGTTTCATAAGCTGCCGAGGACCAAGGAGCCACCCAGTTCGTCAGTCCACGTTGGAGATGCGCAGGTCCAGGTTGGGCGATACATAAAGTATTTAGGCCTGACCTTGGATGGTCGGTGGGGCTTCGAAGAACATTTCGAACGCCTGGTCCCTCGAGTTGAGAAGGCTGTGGGTGCTCTGCACAGACTGCTGCCTAATATTGGGGGACCTCGAGAAGAAGTTCGCCGCCTCTATGCGGGTGTCGTGCGATCGATGGTCCTTTATGGGGCGCCTGTTTGGTCAGCTCGACTGTCAGGCGCCCGACGCTGTAGAACGAAAATTTATCGTTTGCAGCGGAAAATGGCCATCCGCATCGCACGAGGATACCGTACGGTGTCTTTTGAGGCGGCAACTCTCCTGGCTCGCTTTCCGCCATTGGATATCCTGGCGGATATGGATGCCAAAGTTTACGAACAAATTCGTGCTGTCCGCCAAAATGGCGGTAGAGTGCCAGGAGTGGCGTTCGTTAGGCTGAGGCGGCAGGAAAGGCGACACGCGCTTGAACGGTGGCGTGAGCGGCTACAAAAGCCGGAGATCTCACGTAAGCGCGTTGTCGAAGCCATTCTGCCGCACTTCGAAGTCTGGCTGAAGAGAGAGGAGCGCGTCTCCTTCAGACTTACTCAGGTGCTGACCGGTCACGGTTGCTTTGGTGAGTACCTAAACAGGATTGGGCGAGAGGCCACGACAAATTGCTACCACTGCGGGGGTGACCTGGATTCCGCACAGCACACGCTCGAGGAGTGCTCAGCATGGGCCTCTGAGCGGCGGGTCCTGGTTGCCAAGATCGGGCGAGACCTGTCTCTGCCAGCCGTAGTTAAGGCTATGCTGGCAGATACAGAAAATTGGAGGGAAGTAGTCTCGTTTTGTGAGACTGTAATGTCCCAAAAGGAAGCTGGTGAGCGGGGTCGCGAGAGGGCCGATCCTGCTCGTAGAAGGCGTCGAGGAGGTAACCACCTTGATGCCTAACACGCCGAAATCCCGCCTGCATAAACTTCAGGCGGACCTTTGGGGCCACGGGTGCGTAGAGTGGGGACTCTAGGTGCCCACCTTGTGGTCTCAGGGAAGACGGTGGCACAGTGGTCACGTGCCGCCGTAGACAGCAAGGCTTAAAGACACCCGTCTCCCTAGGGATGTGTCGTAACAGGCGTTGCACCGTGGAGGCGCCGGAGCAGGTCTCTTATAGAGGACCCGGTGCCTCCATTCAGGTGTTGAGGGTGGCCACCGGGGTGGTTTTAGTGAGGTAAAAATCCCACACTCCCTAGTCTTTTATCCCCAAAAAGGCTGGGCGCCTTTTGAAGGTTTCCCCCCGTCATCAAAAAAAAAAAAAAAAAAAAAAGGTATGTAGTACATTAAAAGAAAATTTTGAAATAGATAATTAGCACCACTACGGTTGCAATTAAAAAACATTTTATTGTTTTTATTAATAACGATACATAAAGACAACAAAACTGACACAGCTTAGATCTTCAATAAACATGGCTTAGTGAAGAGGAAAATTGGAATCGTTGAGCTGAAACCAATCTGATTCTATAAGGATATTTAGGTACATAAAAAGCAGTATTTCTCTAGCTCTCTAGCTTGGCTGGCATAGTTCGAGAGATAGTTGTGCGAAGTGCTCTCCTACGGCTCGTGCCAGATACATGTGTGTGTGTGTTTCTTTATAGTAGGAACGTGGTTTCAGCACGGATTTGGCTGCATTCCTTAAACCTATTTGAATTTCAAATAAAACCACGCAGCTCATTAGTTAAGTAGCTTATGAGGCAATTACAACTATCCTATTTTATATGTCCTGCGTGTATTTTCATAGCAAATAAAAACTTGAATTTATTTCAAGTTGCTAACTATTTAGTAAATATTAAACTACTACCTATTTACTACCTCATTGGTCGAGTGGTCGCAAGTGCGACTGCCGGCAAGGGGTCTAGGGATCAATTCCTGGGTTGGGCAAAGTATTACTTGGTTTTTCAAAAAAGTCACAGTATCAGCACGGAGTCTGGAATTGTGACTGGTATATGGCAATAGGCTCACCCCCTATTACATGGGACTCATAACATCAATAGTGAAAAGTGGGTGTTACATTGTACTGTGGCATAATGTACACCTCTGCCTAACCCTTCAGAGATAAAAGGCATGATGTTGTGTTATGTAAACTTCTGCTAACTGCAGTGACTAATATAAAATATGTAATAGGTAAGTAAAAAGGAGGTCAATGAAATATGTACTTAACAGATCTGACTAAAGTTTAAGTACTAAATAATATAAAATATCTAGAACATTGGAAAAATATTATAAAAAAGAATGAGTCATCGTAGCATCGTCTTGTCATTACAGACGATTTACACTGAAACTTTTATAAGAGCAACGTGTAGCACAAATGTTGGGTCCCACGCAGTTATTACTTCACTAAGCTATTAAAGATCCAGTTCAATATTGATTGTTAAGTCCCGTAACCTAGAAAGTCGTATTAATTCAGTAAAAGATTGAGGACGAAACGATGACTCGTTATTTTATAAGGTTTAGTAAATTTTAAGTGTGGGAGAGCCATGCATCGGCACGAATGGGCCGGCCCGACCGGAGTGATACCATGGCCTCACAGAAAACCAACGTGAAACAACGATTGCGTTGTGTTACGTCGTGTGATTGAGGTTACCGGTGGCCCAATTATCCCAATTCCCAATTACCCCAATCCCCAATTACCTCAATCCCTAATTACCCCAATCCCCAATCTTTCCAAATCCCTGGATCTCCAACAAATTTCTAATCCCCAAAAAGCCGGTTACGCAATTGTAACGCTTCGTGTGTTTCGGGTGTTCATGGGCAATATGGGCATGATTGCCTACCATCAGTTGATCCCTCTGATTGTCAACCGGCTCATTCCATAAAAAAAACCTATGTTATTCAATACCTAAGCCTAGTTTTCAAGCACACAAGATTTAAAACATTACGCTGCATTTAGTTTGAGCATTTAGTTTCATTTCATTTTACCGTTCGGTACTTCTCGCAATCAGAATAGGTTAACCAATTTACGTATTAGTTATTGATATTATAAACACATTTTGCTAAATTAATGTTACAATTAAGGCGTCCCTAACAGTTTAACATTCGATCTAACAACTTGACTCTTAAGCCCAAGGATTTATGGCGCGCATCGAGTTACCTAACGATGCTTGTAATTAATTAGTGGTCCCTGGTAGTTAGCTGTTCTAATTATTACCTATCACTTGGGACGTGTGCCGTGCGTTATTTTGTATTTATATTATCTTATCTTATACTATTATATAAAGCGGAAGAGTTTGTTTTTTTGTTTGTTTGTTTGTTTGAACGCGCTAATCTCCGTAATTACAAGTCTGATTTGAATAATTCTTTTTGTGTTGGATAGCGTATTTATCGAGGATAGCTATAGAGTATAAAACATCACGCTACGACCAATAGGAGCTGAGCGGAGCGTATGAAACCGCGCGGAAGTAGCTAGTTAGACATAAAGGTGAACTTCCGAAGCACAATTCAGTTATATTGCAAAATATAACATTTTGCTAATAATAAAGCTATAGCAGCTGGCAAGTGGTCTATTTCGGCACTTCATTGCACAAACTTGCTTGCCAATACTTCACTATACTTATAGTATTTTTATTTTTTTATAAACACATTGTTTTGTTATTTTAATCTTATCTGCACAATCCATCACGTGACAATAATAACATAGATATACGTACCGATACTTTCTCCACCCAAGGATTCCTCATACGCTGCCATTTGATTTGTCCTTTAACAAAACAAAATGGAAATGATTATTTTATTGGCTCGTCGACGTATAATAATTTCCTAATCCAGAAATTATGGAATATTATTATGGCTAAATTTATGTCATTTAAGAATTAATAGTTTGTAATGCAATTATGCAAGCGGTATTAACACTTAAAAAATAGCAAACACTGTTTATTTTTCATTGAGTGCTTAGGTAAGTAAGTAATGCAGACTAAAAATGCAAAAGGGCAGCTCTGGAGGTCATGACGAAGGTAACAGCTGTGTGGATCGATCGTCCAAAGTCTGACAATGAGTCTTATCATGAACTCCATAATTTACACCAGCTACATTCTAGAGGTCATATCGTAATCGCTTTGAATTATACAATACTAATATTCACTCCAAATTACAACAATACAAGAAATATGCAAATAATTTTATTTATTACTTATACGTTAAAAATACAGCTGTCTTATTTTACACTATTTGTCTCTTGACATCGCATACTCCAAGCAGTAGAATTGCTTCGCTGAATGTCTCAGTCTAAGCAGATTTTAGTCTCGTTAATCATTGCTATTGGCACTAGTATAGAAATTAGCATTGATTTGTAGCCATAGTGAATATCACAGAACATACTTCTTTATAATGTTCTGTGGTGAATATCTACTAGAATTATCGTCACTACCAAAAAACTGTACCAACAATATCACACGATAGAGTAGCAACCATAACATTTAAGATTATTTATTTTCTTCGGTGTGCTTTATATGGCAACAATAAAGGATTGATACCCATACAAATGCAAAATTTTGTTCGAAACCTCGTTCATGCAAAACAAGAACGGACCTGGCTTTGTTTTCTAAAAGAGTTTTTATTGAATTTCGATGGTGATGAAGGACTAATGTCGAAGTAAAAATAAAAATATTGACTTACCAATAACTGACCCAATAGTCAACAGAAGCGGCGCAGGTAGTGGCTAGTACAACGACTAATAGTGCAAATAAGATGAAGCAGACGTTCCCTCCCGATCGGAAGTACGCAGAGATCACCTCCCACCGCAGGTTGCCAGATTGTCTCTCTTCTTCTTTCATCTTCTGCGCTTCAAACTCTTGTAACTCCTCGCCTTCATTCACACTGATCATGGTCTTTAGAGCTGGTTTATCTTTTTCTTCGATACTCTGTTCACAAAATAATATTTTTCCAAAACTCAAGATACAAAAGAACAAGATACAAGATCTATACTAAATATTACTCGTATTGGTCAGTAAATACGAGCTAACTAAGAAAAAGGCCTTCTTAGACATTATTATTTCTTACAAATACAAGTTTCGGTTATTGATTACTCACTGTAAACCGAAACTACGAAAAACATCAAAAATAAATTGTTTAATTTTATAATATACCTACCTATTATTTTATTGTACAACGAAATAATAAAGATATATTGTCAAAAAACCAAAAAAAGGACCTGAAAACTAGCCCCATTTCATAGACCACATAACTAGTCTATAATAGTATATTATTATATTCTACGCAATTGACTTCAGTAAGGATGAACGGTTTTATGAATATCACGTCTGCCCATCATGTTGTGTTGTTTCTTTGTCAAGCCCCGGGCGATAACCAACCTCATCTCGTAAGGCCGACAATAATAAAATGGAAAAAATTCGAAGAAGGAAAGTCTGGGAAACTGTATAATACTCAGATGGTCTCGACACAGACAGTAAACAATGAGACCCAAGAATCCACTCAGTTATAATTATACTGACAGTAACAATATACCTATTTGGTTTAAAGGTCGTATAACTTGAAGTTGCAAAAATATTACACAAATCTTAACACTCCAAACTTCGAACAAAAACATAACATTTTTAATAGTTAACTCTCCTCGTTTTTTATGTGTTTAAAGCCTCTCGTAAATTACAGATGCATCAAACCCACAAAATTTTATAGCAAAGTGCTGCAGTAAAACTCACGTAAATACCGAAAAAATATAAAAATCAAACACCACCAGTAAACAAATGACTTGAACTCATTTTTATATAGGTATGTGATACCCGAGGGTTACTCTCCTCTTACATATTTGAAGAAGCTAGTAGCCACTATGAAGGGATTCTCAGACCTTTGGCATAAATTGTATTTTTACGAAGTGCGGGTGCGATGTTCATAAAAAATGAAGACATAAACAGTGCGTACTGCCAAACACAACGCGGGTACTCTTTAAGAGCGATTGTATGGCCTTCTTCTTGAACTCTGCCTTTGAAGTATGAGATTTTTCCTACGAGTACAAAATGATCATTCGCAAAAAGATCGGAAATTATTATCTTTCTTTACATTTAAAGTGCAAGTCGGGGCCTTCTCAGAACTTAATTGAATATAAATTAAAATATTATGAGAAATACTAATTGAGAAATTAAGTGTCGTACAGTTGAGTGAACAAAAGAGACTACAATTACATAAATTACCATATTATAGAGTCGACAATGGAACGTAGCTTTAATGACGGAGTGGGTCGATATCACGGCCGTCCAGTCAGCGCAATCGATAAACTTGTACCAACTCTACTGATCGGAATGCATAACTCAAATAGTTCTGTGAATACCACCAATTGTTCTCTAAGTACAATTATTAAGTTTAATACGAATTGTGAAACTTGATCGAATTATATTCCAACAAAGTGGCGATAAATACAGGTCGTCACACGAAAAGTAACTGTGGTATATATGTAGATTATATAGAAATGAGAACATACCCGTGAGCCAACACTCTCAGCGTCCTTGTCTTTGCCTTCCTGCAGCTGCGCGAGCATCATTGAAAATTCTTTGCCGGACGAAACCAATTCGTCAAATGTTCCCATGTTTTCAATGCGGCCCTTAAATATTGATAAAACACATTATTATAAGAACATTTTAATGATTAAAATTAATTATGATTTTAAACTTTACAGACCTCGTTTAATACAACGATGTAGTCAGCAGCCTTCAAGAAGTGAATCTGATGTGTGACCAGGATCCTAGTGCGTCCACGCAAGTAACCGTTGATACATCCCTCAAATAGCTGACGCCCTACGTTAGCGTCGACAGCAGACAGAGGATCATCGAGAAGGTAAATATCGGCCTACAACAATACAAGTAAAATATAAGAACAAGAACATATATATTATTCACAACAATTTCCTCAACATAATTACATAAAAACAGCAAATGTTTGCTTACAAAACAATACGATGTTGAAGTATTTCATATTGATGAAACGTACTCCTACTTTCCAAGAAAAGTGTGTTTGATCAACTCCATGAATATACCATGGCGAACATGCAATAATAAAACGCCCTACATTTAAGCTTTGACCTTAAGCCCAAATAAAAAGGAACAAACAGGATGTTTTCTTCTCATTTTCCAGAGCGAATCATTAAAAGCGATTGAGGAAACGGACTCCGCGCAAAGGTACACCATACATATTTAAAATGAGCAGTATTAAAAGTCGATGGGGAACCCTTGAATTAAAAGCATAAAAGAGGGTAAATTAAACATCTTGAAATAAAAACAAAGTTTATGTTGTATTAAGTATATCTTTCTCAGAAACAAATACCTCTATATATCCCTCCTCCTCTAGTTTCTAAAGTCCGTTACATTTATTCCGTAGTTAACTTTTGGCACATTTTGGCACTCACACAGTGGCGAGTGTCGACAGACGAAAGCTCTGTAGACTGTGAGAGAACAAAAGAAAGGAGTTTCTTTGAATTTCTATGTACTAAGACGGTAAATACTTAACGTTGAATGTATAAAACGCAAAATATAAGTTCCTTACGAACACGACGATGTTATTCTAGGTATAGAATGCTTACTCTACAGAATCAAAATGTGAACTTATGTATTGTTGTTTGTTCAAGCTGAATATTTTAATGAGGAATTGCATAGAAAGTGCGCTTCACTTTGAATGGATATTATTCGTATTTCCATTGTTTTGCGTGTGTTCAAGGTTTGTAAGCTAAAAATAGGCGCTATTTGCTTTCTTTCAGTGGATTTCTTTCCAAAGATACTTTTGAAATATCTTTTACGTGACGTATCTTTGTAGGATGATTATAAGTACATACAATTGGATAAGTTTAGGTTGATAAAGTTGAAACATTAAAAATAAACTTACCTTTTGGGTAAACGGCAAAATCCGTTAAAAAAAAAGAATTGCCTGACAAAAAATTGTTCATTTGGCAGCCGTTACGAGTCCAATATTTGTGCAGCAAAATAGAAATCAATTTACCTCTCTGTAAACAGCGCGCGCCAAATTGATTCGGGCGCGTTGCCCTCCGGAGAGGGACACCCCCCTCTCTCCCACCAACGTCTGGTCCCCGTACGGGAACTGCTTGAAGTCCTTCTCGAGTGCACACACTCTGCACACCTACGTCCGACAGATACATGTTTGTTAGAGGTACTATACCAACTACTACCTAGTCAGTCAAAACATGTGCTTTTCTTTACTTTTGTTAGAAAAAAAATAAAATAAAAAAGAAGTAGGACTGCACTAATCCCGTATTTTTTCAAAATTCTGTTACACTGAAATGTCCCAATTAAACCCTAGGGTACTACAATTTTTAACTCGGCACCCTATTGCTTTTCGGGGCGTTAAGCGGCAATATGGCACCTCGTATTGTTCTCTCTTGGAATGTTGCCACAGACGAAGAAATAACAATATGTTTTTAATCTATTTGTAACCTTTATTGCTACGATTAACTACTTTTATCAAACTTTAGAAGCGTATCAATGACACGATTCGCGTATCTATGACCCAACGATGGCCTAAATAAAGTCAACAAATAATAGAAAAATACATATTATATGCAAATCACGATTTATTTACGTACCTTCTTATATTTTCCGGGTTCAAACGGCAAACCGAAAAGTATATTCTCCCGGACAGTGCTGGGGAACAGCCACGCCTCTTGGCAAGCGTACGACATCTTGCCGTATATTGAAATAGTGCCAGTCGCCGAAGGCAATTCTTTTAGTAGTAGTTGCAAAATCGAGGACTGAGAATGAAAAACAAATCTTATATGAACAAGTTATGGCTACAACTCCAAATATGTATTAACTTAGTTAATTTGATTAAGATTCCTTTGCTGAAAATTGTTAATACAATTTTATTACGATTGTTTTAAACATTTAGTGATAAACAACCATTGTTAGTTGAGCCTTTAATGAGTATTCTGTATCTGGCATTACCTTTCCAGAACCGACTGCACCAATGATAGCGCATAGCTTTCCCTTCCGCAGTCGCATGGAGATGTTCTTGAGCGCCATCATGTTAGGGTCCCCGGTCCAACTTGCCGACACATCGTGCAACACTAGCGCTGTATCCTCTTGATACGATACACTCCTTGTAAACTTTGGAACCTTCAGCTGGATTTCACTACCTGGCTCTGGAAGGAAAATTGGCAAATAACTGAAGAATATAATAATAACAAGATTCGTTTAATGTGATGTTAAAAAAAGTTGGGATCCTGTCGTTACTATATTTTCGGGAAAATATTAAAAATAATATATTGTGAATCAAATGGTAATTTAATTAGTACTTACTTACTTTTCGAATGATTTAGAGTCTTTTTAAATGCATACTTTATGAAACATTGTAGTCTTATAGGACTAACTTTATTTATAAGTATCCTAAATGTAATCATTCGCTTCTCAATGCAATTACTAACGACTTGCACAAAATAAGGTGAATTTAAATTCAATACAGTTCTCAAATAAAGTTCTTATTTCAGAAAACGAAAGAACTTCTTAAGTCGAATAGAAATAGAACAGTCAACATACATATGACATGAAGTTTCAACAATTCTATTGACCTTTAAAAGTTAAAAGTTTTCAAGCCAACAGGTGCACAAACAGATCGCTACTATTGTATCTGAACTACTCATATGTATTTAACTATTGATAAACGTTTACGTGAATGTGAGCGCGTATATTGATTATTGTATAAACTCGAGTATCGGTAATTACTAGTGATAGATAATCGGTAGATTTGTTAATCTAGTAGGCGCTAGTATCTATACTTTATACTTTTTATCTCGAGTACTCGAGTTTTCAATTTCAAAATTCGGAGTCTGGAATTGGGATGATGACATGGTACCTACGAAAAATAAGAATCTAATCAGTCCGTAAGTTAGGTAATGAAAAAATATTATACACGTATTTTTTTCTTTTGTCGTAGGTATTCAAACAATACTTAGATAAAACAAATCAAAGTTTAGGAGTGGGGGCTAAAACGTCATTTCTACGTATAAAATGTACATAGAAGTGACGTCACGCAACATTTCATATCAATATTTATCGTCGAAAGTATTCGTTTCTGTGAGAAAACTAAAAATACGTGTCTAATGATTTAAAATAATCTACCAGACGGACATTAAAATAAAAATTAGGCATCTACCATATTATGCTCAATCTTAAAATATGTTCGTACTGATGGGGAGTTGTATGCGGAAGCCTGAGTATCATAATTATGTTGTGGTGCCATGGAGGAAAAAATTAGCTAGCACCTCTATAAGCTAATACTAATTGGAATATTTTGTTAATACTCATCATGTTCAGTCTTACCTGCTGGTAATGCATCCGATTTCCGATGGTAAGAGAGCGGTCGGATAGACCCGTTGGTCTCCGGTATGCCATCGGCCGATAAGTTGCGGAATAAATTGGACGATGTCTCTTCCGGATGCCCCTTCAAGTCTGGCCTGTCCTCTGTGAATTAAAACATGTACAGTTTTGGCAACCATCACATTTAGGTCTATGAACCACTACAGTGTAACAAAAAAATGTGTTTTAAATTCTAATAATATAGTAAATATGATCGTAAAGAAAGATATATAGGTATAGTTATAAAGTTATATATTACGAGTCCATCCAGTCACTTTTTGTTGTAAAAATATATTTTATGTACAAATGTGTTATTTGTAACAATAACAATCAAAAGAATATTATTATTGATGGCAAATTTCCCATTCTACGAATGAATGACGACGAAGTTAACTATAACCTACAAAATGTACAAGAATTGTTTCATGTTCCAAGGTTACTCATATTTTCCTAACATGCGTCGAATACCGCCACAGTGGAACGCGAGGCTTATAATGACGCATAACGCCCGAAATTCATAATCTGGGTCAAATCTCATACACAAAAAAACATGAAATGGTTAAGTGTGAACCCTCGTAACGACTGCGTATTATATATTATGTATAATAGACCTTTTATTCTATTCTTAATTTACTTAAAATTAAATATAATGCTTAACTCATATATTTATGTTAAATTGTGGCATGCTTTTCATCCATGTATACTATATAACTGCTATAGATAATATGTTCTGATAAAATTCAACATTGGGCAATAAGATAATAGCTGTGCCATTAAGATATTGAATTAAAAATTACAAAATACAATCAAAATATTTATTAGAAACGTAATTTGCTAGCGTGTTTAGTTTTAGTCTATTAAACTATTGAGTACCTACAGATAAATGTATGTGTTGACACCTAACTGATAACACAATGCCATAACTTAAACAAATAAAAATAAAACGCTTACTGAAATACATTTAATTATAGTTATAAGGCTTTACCAAGAACACAAGCAATTCTTTACCTATTACATCCGAAAACTGGGTTTAAAATGTATGCCAAAAATATGATGCGCTGACTTGTTATAATCTCAGAAGTGTTGCTTTGTTTTATTTATTAAGTAAAATACAAAAGACAAGGGGTCTAGGATTCGATTCCCGGGTCAGGCAAAGTACTACTGGGTTTTAAAAAATTCTCAGTGGTAGCACAGACCCTTGAATTGTGCCCGGTATATGGCAATAGGCTCACCCCTTATTACATGGGACTCATAACATAAATAGTGAAAAGTGTGTGTTACATTGTACAGTGACATTAAGTGCACCTCTGCCTACCCCTTCGGGACTAAAAGGCGTGATATTGTGTAAATACAAAAAAACAATAATTATATAAAAGGACTTACCTAGTAACAAGAACTTCTCGACTCTTCCTAGAGACACGAAGAGCTCAGCAGTGAACGATAGCACCATAGGCAAGATTAATGTAATGTTTACTTGAGCAGCGCTCATAAATTGTTGCAGCGGGTAGAACTGAAAGATACAAAGTAATGCAGTAATCTTATACAATAAAATCATTTCCACGATGTGTGAAGACAATCCATTTATCAAATGTAAGGCCTTTTTATATGCGGTGCAGTAAGAGGCTGTAATACAAAGGTCTAAAAGTTATTTTTCTGTAGCAATTTTTCAATTCAAATATGAGTTGCAATCAACGTCTAATTAATGATTCATTAAAATTAATAGCTAAACATTTTTGCACCGCTTTATTTTACAAATGTCTCACCCACTCTTATATCTGAAAGCACTTTGCACAAAATCCACGTTCAAATGGAAAAAACGGCGGTGCCAAAAATCGGTTGCGATTTCAATGAAGACAATAAAATGCAGCCAATCTGGCGTAGGGAAATGTACCACAGATAACGTTTTATGTTCAACAGGATTTGTGATTTTATTGTAATGTCTGTGCATACTGGTCATATTACGAATCCTGCACAAAGAGAGGCAGAAACAAAGGCGATGTTGCCAGTGCTTCAACTAACAATTAACTATGTATCCCTGACTGTTCTAATGAAGCTTTTGAGGCTAGAGGGATATGCACGAGATTGTTGAAATACATTCCGGTAATTTTGTTTTTCTATTCATCAATTAACGATCTATAACAAAGTTATTATAGAAATCTAGACTGTAGCGATACACAAATTGACATAGTTATAATGTAAAATCTCATTCTAAATTTAGAGGTAGGAAGGGCCTTAAAAAATAGCACCAAATTAAATACTCACCACATTAGCAGACATTACGTTTCCCAACAAGACATAAGTGAGTACGGTGAAGAAAAGAGCAGCTCTTTCCGTGAACATCATAAATCCTAAGAACACGGTCCTCAAAATAGTTGCAATCTTCACTTCCTTCAGCTCTTCCGCACGTTTCTGGCCGACTACTTTTTGGAAAGGAATCTCCCATGCGTACATTTTAATTACCTAAAACCGGATTGCATATTTAAATTGTGATCGTCTAGTTATTTGAGTGGTCGCATGAAGGACTACCAAAAAAGTAATGTGGAGCCAGGCTAAGTAATTCTGGGATATCTTTCGGTTTTTTTTAATTCCCTCACTAACAGTTCTCATGGAGTTTCAAAGTCCTGTGTACAGCAATAAGCGCACCCCTTAATATTAGAGGACTCATTAGTGATTTCATACAGAAGTCTTTGAGGATTAAAAGCGAGATGGTGTACTGGTGTTACACATTTTAATTACATTTTTCCATAAGTAAAGTATTACAAAAACATACAAAATGACTGACCTGTATTCCGTTTATGACTTCGCTCATTATTTTTATCCTGTTGTCTGTTTTTTCTGCGGTGCGAAGTCGAATTTTACCTAGGTACTGACCCAAACCACCTGCAAATTATTTATGCTTTGAAACGTATGCTTCCTGTAAACATTATGTTACATTATACGGCTTTAGCGTACTTTTTAAACGTGGATTTTCTGATTTTTCAAGTGTAATGTTTACATTTTTTGTAATAAATAAGCATATGATGAAAATATAGGAAGATACATGTATATTGTATGTATGATTATTACATAATATAATATGTTAATTTTTAATCGAGTGCAAATTCTGCGCTGTTATTTATAACTAACAAAAGTAGAAAATTTCTATAATACTTCTAAATGTAGGCAAAGATAAATTGTTCTACAAAATTACCTTGGAATGGCAACGCTATGATGATTAAGGCAGCGAAACCAATGAAAGCTGCAGTTCCAGCTTGCAGGTAACCCAGATATATGACTGCGGCGATTTGTAGAGGTATAATCCATACGTAGTGGAGGAACATCATCGATAAGTCGAACCTTTGCAGGTCATTCGATAGTATGTTCACTACCTTACCCGCTGCAGTGTCACCTAGAGAGCCGTTGCTCATACGCATTATCTGAAACGGCATTTGATTTCACTATATGAAGATAAAGGATAAAACATATTTTAAAGTTACGGCTGGTTATTTCATTTAAGTAATAAGTATAACCGATGTTTATAGATACAAATAGGTCCCATCTGGTCGCCATTCGATAAAACGGTACCACAAAAATCAAAGCTCCATTAATCCCTCACCTTTCTGAACATTAATGATCCAACGGCACACCTCAGCTTCATACCGAACTGCTGGCAGAACAGTACTCCGTGGTGATTCATGAAAGCTGACGCCCAGTTAGCGAGGATCATACTGATTGCGTAGTACATGGCCGCCTCCCGGTCCACTGGGGAGTCAGCGGACCAATATCGAAGCAATTGACTGAACAGCAGTGGAGATGCCGTGCTAAAATAATATTTTATTTAAGAAAATCTTTTAATAGTCGCCTTTGAACTAAAATACATTTTTAGTGTAAATCTTACCGTAGGCCTATCGAGGTAGCTTGCATCAAACCACCCGGTATGTAAGACCAGATGAATGTCTTGAATAAAACCTTCGCAAATTTCGGTTTTTGTCCAGTTAGTTTCGCTTCATATTCTGCTTTCAGCCAACTCCTGCGTAAAAATAACTTTACATTAATTTAAGAATGAATACGGTAGTTACATTAAAATTATGAAGTGATTTTTTTTCATTCCTTAGTGGTTACATTTCCCGCCAAAACACCCGTCAAAATAATTTTATTTTTTCTGTTAAATTTTATTTTCGGCCAGTTGCATTTAACCTCCTTTGTTAATATTAAACCTTGTACGAAGCCTCAATTAAAGCTATATAATAACTAAAAGAACAGTAAAATATGTAGTAATACCTATTACCTACATGAACACAATTATTTTCATATGATTTTATTTCTTTAGACAATATGCGAAACTGTTATTAAATAGCTATTTACTTCTGTCACGTGCGAAATTAGGTAGGTGTTGTATAGAAATTAATACAGTAATTATAACACTTAAAATAGAAGTATGGACATACATCACCATGTATTTTTACATACATATGTAGATACCGACATTACAGGATATTATGATGATAAATTACAATTAATATCACTTAGGTAATGTCAGCAGAAAAAATGAACCTATCTATAATATGTAATGCGATATTCAGTTCCTATAACAATTTCCTGTTATTATACCAAATTACGAGTTATTTGTTTAAAAACCTTATGTGCACCAGTGATCTAGTTAAATGTAGGTACGACATACCTGAATAATATTTCACATTTTTATCTTATCGCCGCTTATTTATGTTTTAGTTACACTTAATCAAATGATATGCAATTATACAATCAATTGTACATCGTATTAAAATATTGGTTCTGTTTTGGTTATTACCAAGGCAATCTTTATTTAATCTGTGTGTAGGTCTAGTTCATATAATATAAAAAAAATAGTTTATTCTGTATTTGAAATGTGGTTTTAATTCCGTGTTCATTTCTTAAGTATTGAAGTCAAGTTGAAGAAGTACAGAAATCAAACATCATTTTTTTATTCCTATAAATTACCTATTGTGTTAAATATGTTTGTTAATAACATGTTTGTGTCTACCTTAATTGCTACCAATACTGATAAAAATCCAATCAAATGCGTAACTGTGACGTATAACTTTTCGAAATAATTTGGTACGTAATTAAGAACAACACGTATGTAAGTCACAGTACAATACACCTACCTAGAGATTGACCATAAACACGCTATCGGATGTTGCCAACTAACGAAATAGAACAAAATACATTTTTCCTTGAATTGTTGACTTTAACCTTCTTAATCATTCAGACGTTTCGATTTTATTTCCAGCACTGTGTTACCTACATAGTGCATCAGTACTAACAATGTAGGCTTTCATGATAGCTAACCTTGGTTGTAGAGTTGCCTTAGTTACTGTTGCTGGGATGAATGACGTTGAATAAGTCATTCCAAAATTCCTAGTATAACATCGCGCCTTTTATCCCCGAAGGGTTAGGCAGGGGTTCACATTATGCCACTGTACAATGTAACACCCACTTTTCACTATTTATGTTATGAGTCCCATGTAATAGGGGGTGAGCATATTGCCATATACCGGGCACAATTCCAGACTCCGTGGTACTACTGAGATTTTTTTTAAAACCCAGTAATTCTTTGCCCTACCCGGGAATCGAACCCGAAACCCCTTGTCCGGCAGTCGCAATTGTGACCACTCGGCCAACGAGGCTGTCCAACGAGGCAAATTCCTAGTAATGAAACAAAAATAGAGTTCGATGTTTTAATTGACTTCCCTGTCGCATTCTTGTGTGGGATGCCCCGTGTATGACGCTTGATTCTAGGACGTATATTTTCCTTAAAACTGCCGATCATCCATAGGAACAATGAAATCCGATAATAATTAGTTTGCAGACTTATTGATTAAGATTGTATTCGTTTACAATCGATCATTGAAACATTTTATCAAATAATTTGATAAGGCGATTACAATAATGATGTCATAAAAAAATAAAACAAACAGCTGACGGACCATTTCCATTCTTATTTGGTTACATATAAGGAGACAGGCCATGGAATGTTTCACATCTTTCCGCAATAACATGTTTGCGGACTATAATCGGTTTTATAGATTAACCTATCACCACGCCACCTACGTGTAGGTTAAAATATCAGCATGATTCGAAAAATTAGAAATGACTAATGATTCAAAATTATTATGAAATCAATAAAGGTACTTTGTTGCTATGTGATCTTGTGTTACCTTACCTGTTTAAAATTACATACATCATTCATATATACATATAGTTCTGCGTAGTCTACATCTATGTATACTTATTTACTATCGCTACACTCTTTTTGTTTATATTTTATTTGTTATCATTTAAAACCTCATGCTTCCTCAGCAATACAAATTGCATAACTTGATCTTATTAAATCATTACCAAAGTACAAAAGAAAATTACGTTCTCGCCCACGTCATTCTATAAAAACCTTCAAATCTGTGATAAAATTCGAAGTCTAAGATATCAATAAGCTGGCACGCCTCTCAAAATTAATCTTAGTACTTATCACGATTTACGGGAAGCTAATGTTAATCCGACTCACAAACTAATGACTACAGTTTACAAACAAGTTTACTCCGATCAAACTGAATGGCTACACAAGTCCACAATTATTTATATGGCTTCGAACAATTCCGATACACTTGGCGTACACGCGCAACGCGCAGTCTTTACTATTAATCGGTTTACACCAGTAACAGAGCTTTTATTTACTTAATCAGCTTACTTACAGGTAATTTGAATAGATATAGCAGTTTTACTCTATAATAACTTATTCGTTACACTGTAAAGACAAAGTTACATATATGTATTTATATATATTGTAGATATAATATACATATAAGAATATAATGTACTGGCTATTCCCGCGTTTCACCCCCGTTTCTCAGATTGTTTTGATTACAGCGTAATGTTATACAGCCTATAGTTCCTCGATAAATGCACACTATCCAGCACTAAAATAATTATCCAAATACGACCAGTAGTTTCGGAGATTAGCGCGTTCAAATATAGAAACAGATACTCTTCAGCTTTATATAATAGGAGGTATTAGATTACATAGTTAACTGTGTATAATTGATGTAATTACAATTTCATTTGACTTGGTCTGCAATAAAATATATACATACTTATGTAAGATTAAACTCATTATTAGGTATGTACATAATATGATATATTTGATTCAAGTTCGTATAACATTGCCTATGTCTGTGGAACCCCATTCGGGAATCACGCCATATTTAATTGACCACAAATTCATGCATGGATTGATGACTCGGCGAATTTGACCACTGTTCAGGTGTTGATATAGTCATCTAATTTTAGAAACTTTAGTGCTAGATGATGAAACATTGTATTGTATTTCTTGGGGATAAAATATTGTAATGTTTTGTTTTTATAATAACTACTATCGTGAGACATACTATATTAACTAAAAATCGCGGGTTACTCACGTAAATATTCTGAGAATAGCTCTACTAGTTTCGAACCAAAGAGGGGTTCTTCCTCATGAGCAGCGTGCGCGATGTAGCGATTTTTAGTTAATTGTTATGATTGTTTCATTATTTTTCTGTCTAAATTGGTAATTGTAACCGAAGTTTTAACATATACAACATATAACAACAACAGTTTCAGCAATAAAGAAGTACGTGCATAAAACCCTGTTCAACCGTTCAAAGGCAAATGCCCTTCTTAAAACTATAATACACGACGTAATAGACTTTCTCCGTATTCCAAGAGGAAGCCTTTGGGCTGCACTCACTCGTTTATCATGGGACCGGCTTTGTTGAGAACGGCTTCTATTACAAGATACTTCACATCCCACGGTACACATGTCAAAGGGTTTTAAATACAGACATAAACAGCGCCTTTTCAGAGTTAGAATAAAATGATTCTTATTTTGTGGTTTTTGTTGATAGAACCGATATTTTTGGAAATGCATTTTCATTGTCCAGAGAAAATTAAGTCTAGTCGGCAATTGTATGTTTTATGCATTCCTTTTGTTTATGCATCTAATAATAAAATTAAAAAATATAAGTTTTATGTACACACCTATATAGATCAAAATATTATCAAGAATACATATTACATTGTTATAATATAATTTCGTATGTTATACCTTTAGTTGTGAGGACGCCATTTGTAAATAGTGATACCTATATACATTCACGTGTATGCAAGTACCTTCAACGTCCACCTTAGACTGCTACTTATCTGAACGCAAAGCAAATTATCGCTCGTAAATATTTAATGTCTGAATGAATGGTTTCAAATGCCAACACATTTGTAGCAAACAACAAGTTTTCTTTCCATTAGTAAGTAATACTATTTAATGATATAAACATTGTATCACACCTGTTACTGAAGGAAGAAGTAAGTAGTAATGTATTAGAACTCTTTCTTTTTGCGACTTTTTTTAAGGGGGGAAAATCATCGAATGTCTTCTCCCGCCTGGGTGAGGCGGGAGGGAGCGTCAGACTCTTACTGACTAAAAACCGCCCCGTTCCTTCTCCTGCACGTTGAGCCGGAGCCCCGGGAACCCGTTAGGTTCTCCGCGATTTCTTTTTATGACTTTTTTTAAGGGGGGAAAATCATCGAACGGCTGCTCCCACCTGGGTGAGGCGGGAGGGAGTGTCAGACTCTTACTGACTGAAAATCACCCCGTTCCTTCTCCTGCACGTCGAGCCGGAGCCCTGTTAACCCGTTACGTTCTGCGCGACTTCTTTTTGCGACTTGCGTTATCAACAACATACATAAAATGATGTATTGAATATACATATACAAATCCTCAGCTCGACCCAGAAACTGCGGCTAAAATACTGTGCCTGACTAATTTAAAATCTCTACAGTTTATACATATAAATGAAAAAATGACCTATTTTTAACTTAATACCAGCTATAAATACAGGTGCTTAATAACAATTATAATTCTATTTTCAGTGAAGGAAAACTTCTGAAGTAATATTTTTCGTAGATATAAGTATACATTTATATCAAAGAAATGGTTTAGCAAAACATTACCAGCACGTTGAATATGTAAGAGCGAGTATTTCAATGGAATTCTAATTAAAAATAAATTGGCATACCACGAAATGACGTCGCCAGAGATGTAAGTATGCGCCTTAATTTAGTTAATGAAGAAAATCGATAGTTTTAACCTTTACTTGTGTGATTTAAGGTTATGAGGACTTGTCATCTGACCTATAAATGTAGGAGGATGTTGTTGACCTCTCTGGTGAAGTGAAATTCAACGTAATCTCATGTTCAAGCACTACATGAGATATTTCCAGGGATTTAAAATATTGCCTTAATTTTATCTAATCTGTTTAAATATGTTATTTTGAAACTTATGTAGTGAAGTAATGATTCTTTGGAATTAATATGAATTACTAAATTAAAACACAAGCAAACAACTTGTGTAAAGTGAACAATGTGTATACATATTTTGTTTTATTTTGGGAATTAGGAATTTAAGGATTTCATCAACAGCCTCTAAATGCCCACTGCTGAGCAAAGCCTCTTCTCACACGGAGAAGGTTTGAGCATTAATCACCACGCTTGCTCAATACGGATTGGCGATTACAAACTTATAATTAGAAATTATAAGTCCAGGTTTCCTCACGATGTTTTCCTTCACCATTTGTCAGTGGTGTCTATATAATCTTAGAAAGTACATTTACTCGGAAAAAGTCACATTGGTACTTGCCGTTGGCCGGTTTGGAACCCGCACCCTCATGCATGAAAAGCGGGCGTCTTAAACCTCCGGGCCACAACGACTGTTATATGGTGATATGTTATTTAAAGATTTACATATATATGAATATCATTTATATTTTTATATTTGTACCATTACCGACTTATTAACAATGCAATCATGATAGGCAAATAATGTTTCTCCTATACTTGTTATATACTCATTGATAAATACAGGGTGTAAACAGAATGCTCCCGACAAACACCAGCAGTATTTTCATAAAAGTAAAGATTAAAATGTTTATTTTTCAAGGCTTACTTTTTAATTTTTAAATATAAATAAGTTATAATGAACCTCTTTCGTACTTGCTATTGATATTATGTAGAGTAAATAGAAGACGAATCGCTAGTTCAGTATCCAAGCGGACACGAGTGCGACGAAGCGCAGCGTTTTTCACTTTCAAACGAAACTCTACTTTCCTACTCTGTATTAGAATTTCATATCACGTACTTGAAAATGCAAGTTAAATATGGACCGTGTTCAACATTATACGTTGAATCTTTAATATAAATATGTAAGTTTCAGTTTGTAGGTAGGTGCTTGTTTGAGCTGCATTTTAATTTTGTAGTATCAGATTTGTGCTATATTCTTTATTCATTTAGATCTATTTTCATATCACTTAATGGTAGGTTTACTGATTAATACTTTAACTAGTAGGCTAATCTCTTCGTTAACCTCGCTCATCATGGACCCAGTTAGTAAAGAACGATTTAGGTGTTTATTCCAAAACTAGCTAACCCGGTAAACTTCGTACCGCCTAAACTTATTTTTTTTCTCACCATTTAAACCTTCCCTGGACTTCCATGAACATTTCAAGACCAAAATTAGCCAAATCGGTTCAGCCGTTCTCGAGTTTTAGCGAGACTAACGAACGGAAACTATTTTTATTTATACAGATTCTTTATAATTATTACTTATGTACGGATTTCTGTTATTATACATTAGTTATTTGCTACGAAATTTTATGTAAATCAATTTTACTAGTCTTACTAATATTATTTATCCGAAACTTTGTCAGTTTGTGTATGTGTTTGTTACTCAATCACATCAAAACAGCTGCAAGAATCGAGATACAATTTGGACCAGGGGTAAATTTTGGTTTGGAATAAAAAATATGCACTTTGAACTCCGGGAACACTGGCAGAAGTTAGTAAAAAATGAATACGAATGTTAAACGAACCTGTGATTTCCTGGACTTAATTTTTGACCATAATTTCCTGTGCAACTTCAACTGAAATGTTTTGTTATTGTAATTCTTAATGCAGATAACGATTTGGTATTTTAACGTACAGTATATGCAGAATTAGTGTAATATATGGTTATATATGGTGATATGTTACATACGTCGTTATATGTATATGGTGATAATTCCCACTTACCTTTCCAATTTATCTCCGAGCATCTTGGACTGGTACATATTCTTCGGAGGTGGAAGATCACTTTCTTCCAGGTCTCTGCGGTTGCCAAAGTAAAATATAGGCAGCATCCAGCAGAACAACGTCCTCTTAAACACGTTGGGCACACTCTTTGGTTCAGTCCGTGGTGGGTTTGATTTCGAGTCATTTTTATTTCCTTTCTTCGCATCCATTTTTAAACACTAAAGTACTTTATTAAAAAATAAATTAAACACTTAACAAGTAATTTGTAGTAAGGAGTATAGAGTAGAGTAGCGCACACATCAGTGCTCTTGCGCACGCTATGCGCGTTTCATACGTACTGACGGTATCGCTCAACTGAATCACGATCGGTCCGCTCCAGTTTAGTGATAAATTGTTATTTAATGTGAACACAGATATTGTCTTTATTAACAGATTATTATTTAAGTCCAAAGATCAATTAAAAACTATTTCAAAATTGTGATGAAATTATTAGGGAATATTCCATTCTTTACATTCTTGGTTTCAATTAAAGGTGATTAATATTAATAATAATAATTTACTAGACTGTACGGTTGGCGCAGTGGCTGGTTAACTGGCTACAACTTAACGTGTAGCGGGTTCGATTCCCGCTTGAAGCAACTCTTTGTGTGACCCACAAAATGTTGTTTCGGGTCTGGGTGTCATGTGTATGTGAAGAAAATCGTGTGGGTTAACGTTTTCGAAAAAAAACTAAATGAAAAACACAAAAACTAGCCAGTAACCTTATTAACTGTTACTGGAACTAAGATTTAAGGAACTAGTTATTAACTAGTTTATTAATAATTATAGTGTAACAAACTATTTTCATTCATCGAGCTCACGTAATTTCGTGTGATTACCACGAGACACTAAAACGTAAAAGATAAATTAAATCGCATGACACCGTCTGTGCTAGGTACAATTTTCACAAGTAATTGTGATTATACAAACAACAATCGTTTTAAGAACAATATTTTATATAAATTATTTAAAAGTGACCTTTGATAGCAGAGAATAAAGATTAAAATTGTACTTTGGACTTTATACGTACGAGAAAATTTGAAATGAGTATTCTTTTACTAATAACGGTCTGCCATTATTGTGACTTACGTATCGTGATAAGAGTCTAATAAAGTAAGGTAGGAATATGAACGTACCTATAGCAAATACATACTTCGTAAACTAAGTCTAAATAGATAAGCTAATGCCCGAATACTAAAAGGCTACTCAATTATAAGTTGTACTTAAATATCGCGCCATCTCTGTAATTTTACAAAGAATTTGTAGTGACAGAACTATACTTAAGCGCGATCTAAAATTGAGTAGCGTTTGAGTATTTGGACATAAGTGACTTAATTATCTTTAAGATATCTTGTAAATACAAAAGGATCAAATTAATTTGATCCTTTTAAAAACAAAATTCAAACTTCAATCAAAATGTAAGCTGGAGCACCTTCCAGCTAGATGTACTGACAATATCCAATGGATATGGACATACACGTAATATTTTTTTTTATTTTATTTATTACTTCTACCAACAATTATTTGCACTAATTATACACAAAAACATACCTTTAAGACTTATACTTATAGGTAAATACCTCGAATATGATATGATATTATTTATTTTTTATTAATTTATTTACACTTCTGTATGATATACGATGGCGGACTTAATGCCGGCTGGCATTCTCTAACAGTAAACCATGGGGTGATGCAGAGATGTGCAACAGTAGTTGATACAGGTAATATGACTCAATTTATGTAACACAGAATAAATCTACATACATATATACATATTAAAAATATATTAACTTTAATATACATTAATTAAGGTACATTAATATTGGCATAAGTTTTTTTTATGGGATAAGCCGGTAAACGAGCATACGGATCATACGCATCGACTTCGCCCATGGCCACTCGGAACATCAGAGGCGTTACAAGTGCGTTACCGGCCTTATGGGGATTACAAATTTGAGGATTGTTGAGGTTTCAGAGATTGGAGAGATTGGAGGGAAATTACACAACGCAAGCGTTGTTTCACGTCAGTTTTCTGTGAAGGCGTGGTATCACTCCGTCGAGCCGGCCCATTCGTGAAGAATGACTCTGACACACTTAAGTATAATATATATAATAGTCTATACAATTTTTATTGTTCAGAACTTATTAATAAGCGGTTACAATAGTTAGGTAACAATTAAACATAACAATTTCCACTTAACCGACTCGTTTAATAAAAGTTATTACTGAGAATATTAAACATTATAAGAATAAATAAATAATTGCTTATGATAATTTTTCTGGTAAACCTACCAATTAATTCCCTCTTATACTTACATCCCATATATAAAAAACCACTTAAAGTGTTTAACATATTATTATTGCTACTTCATTTTATTACCAACGCATATCCGCCGATCTACCGATCTAAGAACTAAAACCTAGACGCTGGCACTTAGTATATTAATTTACAGTAATGCGAACGTAAAAGATTAAGTGTATAAATGGATATAAGTTTAAGAAGTCCTCTATTGAAAAAGAACAGTCCATTCAATTTTTTTTAATCGAGACATCATGGGCATGTGGTTGTAGGAGTTTCTGCCAAATTTATATCGATACAAAGATTTCAGATTAACATCGATTACATTCTTCGGTCTTCTACGTATGTCTGGGTACAATTATGCACCATAACAACTGCAACTCCTGTAAGGCAGGACCAACAGTAGATTGGATACTATGGATGGATGAATGAGGCATCCACTTCCCTCGACTTTTCTTGGCAGATACAAATGTATCAGTCAATAATATTATAATGGCTGATCTAGAATCTGGATGAAAGACACTGAGCTAAGTTATAGTCTGGAATAGCAGTTAAATTACATAGTTTTTATTCGGTTAACATGTAAGATGCAGACGTGATTACTTACTTCATCGCATGAAGTCGCAGTCAACTGCTAGTATGTATCATATTTTAATACGCCATTACCAGATAATATAAATATGCGTTCAGCTATTTTACCTAGACTGTATAGTTTTACTACAATATTAGAGCTGATATCAATTTCTATTTAGATTACCGTTATCTGCATGATTTAGGATTTGATAATATTAATGGGACGATTAGTATAGTGACATGTTTTTTTATGAATTAGGTTACTTATATATGTACGCTATTGTTTATATTGTGTTTATCAAAGTAACATTTATTTACCTTATGTGTCTGGCGAATTGTAACAGGTTGGTATTCTAATACTTGAAAAAAACTATATGTTCAAATATGTACTGTGGGATACTTATTTGCCTACCCCTTCAAGGACAAAGTGACATTGTTGGCTGTTGGGATATGTCTGTGCTCAGTTTATGACTCACTTTACTATGTGACTGATAACAGAGACAACCGTTATCATAAATGTATAGTGATGGGTACAATGCATGGAGCAGGTACGTTTACTTTCCCATTGTTCTCGAGAAAAATGATAGTGATGACTCTTATGAGTTAAGACAGAAGATTATCACACTTTGATGTCTCCGTGGTAAACATAAGTATGTTTTTGTTTTAGTCAACAACAACGTGTTGACAAACATTGATTTACTTGACTTAGGACTGATTTTTCAATCATCACTTAGCTCTTTACTGTAAAATAAAATTGACATTTGACAATTTTTAGTATGGAAGAATTGTAACATATTCAAAGTTATTCTTTAGTTAAGAAGTAACTGATGATTGCATAATTGGCCCTTAATGTCCAATGTCAGCAAAACTTTCGTTTTATCTTGTAATAAGTAAAGAAGACTCATTGTGACTATATTTTATTATCTGTATAATAAATTATACAATAGTAAAGATTAAAATTATACACTCATTACATTTTGCGTTATGCAATGAACAAGCATTTAACAATCCGTCGTCTAATGGTGATAGTAACACGTTATTTTTTTATTATTCAATTGAATTTGTATCTCGTGTGTGTACAGTGTACATTATATGGGCTTTCAATATAACTAGCAGAAAGGAATGATTGGACATCGTGTATATTTACCTATGAAACAATCAATACAAAATGTGGTATGTTATTTTTCTTTATCCATCAAAAGGTGGAAATTCGTTCAGTAAAACAATTATTTCGATGGATCCAAGACAGTTATTCACGAACCTGTGACGTTTCCCAGTGTGTTCATGGTTTGTATCTACTACCGACTCTGACTTACAGGAGGTGCAGTGAGTTTAGGAGATTGTGTCAGGCTTGTCCCAATTAAAAAAACGTACCAAACTAACTTACCTTGTAACCTCATGAGATTTATGATATTAGCCTTAATAAATAAGAAAGATACTTTTTTTTAAAGGGGGGAAAATCATCGAATGACTGGTCCCGCCTGGGTGAGGCGGAAGGGAGTGTCGGACTCTTAGTGACTAAAAACCACCCAGTTCCTTCTCCTGCACGTCGAGCCCCGGTTACCCATTAGGTTCTTCGCGACTCCGAATCGGCATCGGCCCAAAGAAAGATACTTATAACTATTTGTGTTAACACAGTTAGTTGCATAATGCAAATACTTTCATATTGTAGCTTTACACGTATTACAGCTGAACGTGACTAGAAATGGTATTACCGCGACTCTCGTTCGTATCACTAAGGCTTCTGCTCACTTAGCGGGCGAAGAGACCGTGACGATACATAATAAGACATCGCACTGCAACACATAATATAATTCATTATAAATACTCGTTACTATCACGAAAAGTGTAACAGTAGAGCCTTCTTCAATCTTAGTTCAAATTAATTAGTAAAGAGCACTTTTGTTTAAAGTACAGACATTTAAAATTCAAAGACTTAGTAGTCGCGCTGCAGCAACTTGAATACTGATATTTTATAAAGAAACACAAGGGTTTAAAACAGTGGTCGTCTAGAACGGTAACATTAATAGACCAGTCGAGGCGTATACTTAGTAACTCATTGTATATAACAACTTGCCCGCCCTAACCTCATAAGTTCGCATCCATGCGCTCAGAATGTAAACAATTTAAAAATGTTTTTGTCCCAGGAGCCGTAAAAAGTTCATTTCATTTTTTTTGTCTTGTTTGTAATAACGTTGACAGGGAGCGACGGTCAGCTGAATGTCGATGTACTTTAAACGAATCCCGCGAAATAAATTACGCCCTTAGAGGAAAGCGATACGCGTTCGGGAAGCG